TAGGTCTACTATATTGGTGTAGAACGGTTGCGACTGAAACTCCATTTATATACGAGTTCTATATAAGTTTTAACCTGCAAAGATGGTGATAACCTTGGTGTGAAGCCGGCAACAACAAATACCTGCACAAACGCAAAACTCAGAGATGTTATATTTCCGATCCTTCAGCACGACATTATTGTTGTGCTTGTGGTAATTTAGTTCTTTCTTTTCGGCTATTTTCTTGTTGGGTGGTTCCAGTATTCCTCACTTGAATACTGTTGAATCACCCTTAGGATATGTGGCCTGCTTTTTAAATTTGTCTTTTGACGTCTTATCTATGATATGCAGGCTTCATAACCTCTGATCCCCTTTCAAAATTCCATTTTATTTAGTTCTGCCCATTGTTTTCTCGTTTAGGGCAAAAGCATTTTTTTTTACTTTGGGACCATGTGCCGCTTTTCATGGAATGGCACCGACGTATCACATTGAAGGTTCCATGATAACCGCCATATGAACACATCTGCGGATGTTTCAAAATTGTACCAAGTCATGTTAAATGTTGAATTCTGCTTAAGCCGGTGCTAGGGGGCGTGGACGGTAGTTTGCACTTGACAGTACCGTCCATGAACAGGCTCAATCAAACCGAGCCTGCAACATTTTCAATTTGTCGTGTTTGGGCTTTCTTTAGGGATTCTTTTTTTTTTCTATTCTGTTCCGTGTATCCGGTCTGAAATAATCAGTTAGTGAAGTGATTTTTATACGCCCGTTTGAAAATTTGAAAAACGGGACGTATTATGGGAACGCCCCTGGCGGGCGGGCGGCGTCCAATTTTGTCCGGAGCATATCTCCTACATGTATGGAGGGATTTTAATGAAACTTCATAGAAATGTTCACCACTATGAGGAGCAGTGTCGCGCACAAGAACCAGGTCACTAGGTCAAAGGTCAAGGTCACACTTAGAGCTCATTGAAAAATGCTTGTCCGGAGCAAAACTTCCACATGTATAGAGGGATTTCAATATTACTTGGCACAATGTTCACCATTGTGAGGCGGAGTGTCGCGCGCAAGATTCAGGTCCTTGCGGCCAAGGTCAAGGTCACACATAGAGGTCAAAGTTCAGATAAAAATATGAAGATGTGTATATGGACCATTTAGTCATCATTTATTGAGGGATTGTAACACAAATGGTCATTATCAAGACTATGGCTGTGATACATATAATTTAGGTCAATATATACAAGGTCAAGGTCACTAAAGATGATGAAATATCCAGATTTTGTCCGGAGCATATCTCCTACACGCATGGAGGGATTTTAATGAAATTTCATAGAAATGTTCACCATTATGAGAAGCCATGTCACGCACATGAACTAGGTCTCTAGGTCAAAGGTCAAGGTCACACTTAGAGCTCATTGAAAAACGCTTGTCCTGAGCAAAACTTCCACATGCATAGAGGGATTTCAATATAACTTGGCACAAATGTTCACCATTGTGAGGCGAAGTGTCGCGCACAAAATTCAGGTCCCTGCAGTCAAGGTTAAGGTCACACATAGAGGTCAAAGTTTAGATAAAAATATGAAGATGTGTATAGGGACGATTTAATCATCATTTATTGAGGGATTGTAACACAAATGGTCATTATCATGACTACGGCTGTGACACATGTACTTTAGGTCAATATATGCAAGGTCAAGGTCACTCAAGATGGTGAAATATCCAGATTTTGTCTGGAGCATATCTCCTACATGTATGGAAGAATTTTTATAATACTTTATGGAAATGTTCACCACCATGATATGTATTGCTCCATGCATGATCCAGGTCAAAGGTCAAGGTCACACTTAGAGCTCATTGAAAAACGCTTGTCCGGAGCAAAACTTCTACATTCATAGGGGGATTTCAATATAACTTGGCACAAATGTTCACCATTGTTAGGCTGAGTGTCGCACGCAAAATTCAGATCCCTGCGACCAAAGTCAAGGTTACACATAGAGGTCAAAGTTCAGATAAAAATTTGAAGATGTGTATAGGGACCATTTAGTCATCATTTATTGATAGATTGTAGCACAAATGGTAACTATCATGACTACAGGTGTGACACATTTAATTTAGGTTAATATTTGCAAGGTCAAGGTCACTGGAGATGATTAAATATCCAGATGTTGTCCGCAGCATATTTTCTACATGCATGGAGGAATTTCAATATAATTTGGCACAAATGTTCATCATTGTGAGGCTGAGTGCCGTGCATAAAATTCAGGTCCCTGCGACCAAGGTCAAGGTCACACATCCTGTGCATATCTTCCCTACTGATTTGTTTTAAGGTTCATTTAACAACAGTGCCAAGAATAAAAACTTGCTTGCTAGATAACACTTATCCATAATGCCCCATCTCCATCTAAAGCTTTCGTAAACGGGCGTATTTTGTGACTATGGCACCCTTGTTCAATCTTTAAACGTCGGTCAAAAATGAAAAACAAAAAGCTATACAATAGCCATTAAAAGGTTCACATGTATACGATATTTTATGGGTACTGGCAAAATGCTCAAAAAGGAAACAATCGCGCATGGACTGGTATCATTTTCAGTCCGCACCAACACGTGACGTAATTCAAAGTTCGAACACCCGTTAGACAAAACCGATCAGCATTAATCGGATAAGACAAAGTTCAGGTCCGCCTGGGCTCCTTGCTATTGGTTCTTGTTGCTGGGTCATAAGGGGGTTGCGTTCATTGAACGCCGCCTTTCCTTGTTGATCTTGTTTATCCTATATTCCAGTTAACAGACTTTTTCAAACCATTAGAAAGAGCTATCAAAGCTATCCATTAACATGCTTTTGATGGCATGCCTGGCACTTGGTTGGCTGATACGTAAAAATCACCAGGCGGCACTCCAAATTACAAAGCTGCCACTTCTTGATCATTTACATTTATGGTTTTTAGTAAATCAAAGCCTAAGGATGATTTTAATCTTATGTATAATGGTAAAAAGCTTGATTTGGTAGATAACTTTACTTACCTTGGAGTGCTTTTAATCATAATGGTAAAATATGATAAACAAGATCAACAAGGAAAGGCGGCGTTCAATGAACGCAACCCCCACATGACCCAGCAACAAATTAAACAAATTAAATTTTTGAAATAAAACAAAATCTTGTTAATGCTAGAAGAGCAATGTTTTCTGTAATTCAAAAGTCCCGTAAATTATGTCTACCAATTTCTTTGCAACTGCATTTATTTAACTCTATGGTTTTACCTATCCGTTTTATGGAAGTGGAGCAAGTTCAAACTTTAGAGAAATTTCTGTTGTATTTTTGTAAGTTTATTTTGAATTTAAAAGCTACTACGCCTAATTGTATGGTTTATACGCCACTTTTCATGGAATGGCACGAATGTGTCACATTTAAGGTTCCATGATAACCGCCGTAGGAACACATCTATTCAAAATTTCACCATTGCCATTATTAAATGTTGAATTCTGCTTAAGCCGGTGCCAGACAGTAACTTGCACTTTCCATTACCGTCCATGAACAGGCTCAATCAAACCGAGCCTGCAACATTTTCAATTTTGTCTTGTTGGGCTTTCTTTGGGAATTCTTTATTTCTCCCTATCTTATGATGAATTTGGCATATTTCCATTAGTCTTGCAAGTGAAAGCAAGAGTTTTGTGTTTCCGTGTTTTTTGTGAATAAAATTATTAATGCTAAGGAAAATTAAATATGTAAACTTCTGTTTAAAACAAGGTTGTCTTTGTCCACTAGGAATATTGTTAATTTTAGATGGATAACATTTGTGAAAGAAACGCTTAGTAATCTTGGTATGTCTAAATATTTTCATCTACAGTAGATAATATTAATCACTTTAAAAGTATTGTTTATTTTAGACTACATGATCATTTTTACAAGATTGGCATAGTACAACTGATACATCTTCTAAGTGCTTAGTGTATCGTGCATATAAAAATACTCATTGTTTTGAAAAATATCTAGATGCACTTCCATTTGACATAGGCAAATATGTATGTAAATTTAGAACAATGAATCACCTATTACCAATTGAAAAAGGCAGACATTTGGCAACTGACCATAATAATAGACTCTGTTCCATATGTCAGTATCAAGCTATTGGTGCTGAATTTCACTACTTATTTAAATGTTCGTACTTTAATGACATTAGATGTAAAACTATTCTTCCCAGTTTTTATATTAATCCCAATATTTTTAAATTTCACAGATGAATGAATAGCTGTGATAAAAAAAATCTATTAAAACTATCTTTATTTTGTAAAAACATTATGTTAAAATTTAGATAATACTTCTAATCCCATTTGTTACGATGTAAAATATAATTATGTAGTATTGAATTCAGTAGTTGAAATGAACAATATGATCACATATTTTTGTTTATTTAGCTAGCCATATTCTTTTATTTGTGATATTAGTTGATTTTTGACTGTTATTTTATGTTCATTTCTTTGTTATAACCAGTTGCATATTATATGCATTAGTTTAATAAACACTGAAACTGAAACATTACCGCATTTATAAAGATGGTATGTTCGGTAAACTTTTAGCTATGTTCATTCATGGATTACGCCGCGAATATTTTCAAGTATGGAGCACGTAACTCTGATGTATGACCGTAGCCCATACCCAAGGCAAAGTAATAAACACGTATGTTTTCTTACATAAGATAAGTTATCTTATGTCCCAGCCTTATTACGCTGGCACAAAGGTGACATGTGAGTGTTTTTATTTATCTCGTGCTCAACAGATACTATGTCGTGGCTACGAGTTACTAAGTCTGGCCACGAGATAGTTAAGTCGTGGGAACGAGATACTATGTCGTGGCCACGAGTTACTATGTCGTGGCCACGAGATAATTTAGTCGTGGGCACGGGATAATATGTCGTAATATAGTATCTCGTGCGCACGGGATAAATAGAAACACAAACACACACATGTCACCTTTGTTTCACCATACCTAATCGGCGTGCCAACATTTAGTGGTACAGTACCTAAATATTTTATCATGTGACTATCACGTGATTTAGCAATAAAATAAAATGACAAAATGGCGGACGAACCAATTGACAGTGGGCAAAATTCCGAAATGGTTAAGGAAGAAGATATAACTGAAGAGGAGGATTTTTCATGTGAAAATTTTCACGACGGACAGGTAATTCTGGATGTTCAGTAAAATTGCGTTGACAGAACAAACATTTCACAAATTAAAACACAGCTTTTGAAACGAAAGTTGACATAAAACTTCCTTTCCACTTTCAGTATATGCATTTGTATTCTTTATTAAAGTAAATTAATGATCGATAGACATCCTTAATATGATGGTACTGTAGTTACTATTAATGAAGGATATTATTGCAACATCTGAATAACTTTTAAATGTACTAGCAAAAGTTAACAGGTTAAGCTGTTAGGCATCATTGTATACATAAACATACATGTATGTGTTGGGGCAGGGCTCGAATTTAACACTCGCAAACTCGCAAAATGCTAGTTGAAAAATGATTTTGCGAGTTAGATTTATGACTACTAGCAATTTTTTGCGAGTTGAAGAAAAAACGGAATACGCTCGTCAGGAAAATCTGAAATATAAATGGGGCGTAATATTCGCAGGTAGCCGAGTTATAAACTATGCGCGCACTTGCTGTCTGGTTTACATTTTCTATACCTTAACCTCGCTTAAAAAAGTACACAAATTTAAACCAGTCCAAATTTCATTTTGTTCGTGTAAATCAAGCGTGATCGGAATAAAATGTCTAAACGAAAAATAACAAACTTCTTCCCACTTACTGAAGCAAATGTGTCTTCCGATAACAATACTCTGAGTACAGAAGATGATTCACAGTCTATCAAAAGAAAGACAATCAGACCTTCAGTTAAAAATTGGGAGAAAGAACTGCATGTCAGTCTTACGTACTAACTCGATGACGATGGAATTGTTGCCAAAATATTTTGCGCCGATTGTTGTGCTCATAATCCAGACCAGACATCGTCGGTATGGCGACAATATTGCATTATTATTTTTTTACATGTAGAGTGACATTTGATAAGAATCCCTGTCCCCTAAATCAAGTTTTTGAGTAGAAAGTTACGTCGCTGATTCGTACCCTGGGCAGTTCGAACTCGTCCAAATAAATTACAATTTTAAACAATTTTGGAATTAAAAAATCATTGTGGTAAAAAGTGCTAGTTGAATTCAGTTTTTGCTAGTTAAAAATTTGTCCACTAGCAAAAAATTGCTAGTGGCCAAAAAAGTTAAATTCGAGCCCTGTGTTGGGGTTCAGTGAACTTTGCTCGATTGTTTTTCTTTTGTTATACTAAAAATAAAGGGGAACAATGTCCAACACAAACATGATTATAAACATTATGTATGCACCCATAAGATAATTCAATATTGTTATTTCATTAACGTAATTGTAGCCCAACAAATTGTGTACTTTAGGGCTTTTTATAATACAGATGATGGTCGCCCTTCGCAGAAAAAGACAGACATCTATTATATGTAATATCAGATTGTAAAATAGGTTTGTCTTGCAGTCAAAATAGTGAGACTAATTTGTTTATGGAGACCTCGATTCATAAACACTGTTATAATTATATTTATAATGTCTTTGAAACTTACCTTAGAATAACATGAAACAAGAAAGCTATAAGTCAACATTTTTATAATGTTTTGTTGTTTCTTTTGTTTGTTTGTTTTTTCATCTGTCAAATTGTCACCCATTTTAAACAAAGTTAAACAAATTGTTGATTTTTGTAAGAAAAAAAAAATGTTTGAAGTAATTTTTAACAAATTAACTTGAAACAATAGAGTCAATTTTTAATAAGGAATATTATTTGTTTTGCCAGTTCACCTGTCAGCTTTATGGACAACGCCATGTTTGTTCTTGAGATCGTGAAAATTACCTACTCAGTATTAAGGCTCCCACGTTTACAATTTTTTGTAAACGTTTACACGACTGCTAAGAACCGAAACGATACCGTTTAAACGGTGGTACCTCTATGTACTATACACACCATGTAATTGAGTCGCTAAATGATGTATTTCTTTCTATTTTTAATACATGTACAAATAAAGAATGTGCAAGGCTTATCACAATTGAGTCAGCACACATTTTTTGCATTGTAACCCCATTTTTTACCAAAAATGTATTATGTCACGAGCAATTTTGCACGGTAATGCTGTGTGGAGGGTTGTAAACACCCATTTTCCGTTTGTTTACTTTGGAATAAACCACTAGAATTGATAAAATCCATATTTACAGGCAATGATTCAGAAATTTTGTAAGACAATATGGTCATTTCGATTAAACGGTAAACAAAATCGTAAACGTTTATGAATGAAAATCGAAACGAATCCGTTTAAACTTGTAATCGTGGGGGCCTTACTCAGTATTGGTTCTAAGAAACTGTGTGTATCGCTTCCAAAATAATGAAAGCTTGCCAATAATTGGTTGTTTTAAAGACAATGAGAAGGTGACTATCTATGGGTGGATGTCATATCCTAATGCATAGCGTTACTAAGGGGCTGTTTTTAATCAGATTGAATCAGTTATATTCAGCAATAGTGCCAAGTAAAATTGGGGTTGTGGATAGAGTTGAAAAAAACAAACACTTTTTTATATTAAAGGCCCAGAAATGCTCCTATTAAGTATTCTTATTTCTCAAAAGCTTTTTATTTTTGATGTACTTATGTTACTCATTGGCCATTTATCTGAATCATCTTTTTCATCTGTTGTTTTTTTGGCAATCAGTACACACACAGTTATATTGATTTAGTATTTTGTATAGTAAGTGATTTAGTATTTTGTAGGGAAGTTTACAATTTGCTACATTTATGACAAATTCTTTTACATTTATTTCTAATTTCTTTAGGTTACAAGCATCTTACAAGTTTTAAATCATTATCTAAATGTTATAAAATTCATATTTATCCTTTCTAAAAATGTAAACAGTTTTTCATTTCGAAACAAAACTTTGAGGATTTTTGAAGGTGTCATGTTTGACCCAGCTGCTATTGTCTTAAATTTTTGTTGAAATTTCTCAAAGAATGCATTGACCTCAAATATTATCATTTGTTACATGTCATTTTGCTAAAGCAGCATGCCTTCAGTTTCATGGTTGTTTTCATGAAATTTTTGAAACTGTATTAAAAAGTAAAATATTGGAAAGTGAACCAAGAAAGTAATTTTCACATTGTAAACAGCACTTACAACCCATGTAAGTCAAAATATGCAAAGAATTAAGGCCCATACTGCATCAATCAAGAAATACATGTATGGTGATACATTATGCAAAATCACACATTATGTGAGAATAATTTCTTGAATCTTTTTACTTTTCTAAAATTTCAGAACATCTTTCTCAAGTTTGATTTTTTGAAATATTTGACTTATCTGGAGGCATGCAGCTTTAAAGACATAACCACACTATTCAAAACACGGGTGTTTGTAAAGTTTGTTCAGTAATGTATACATGTAGTTTCGATGTAGGCAATGACAAGCTCATATGGCTAGTACAACAATCCAAAAATTCTAGCTGTATGTACACACATGTACACTGAACAACACTTTATTGTTTTTTTTAAAGGCAATAACAAAAAAACCAATAGAAAATTCAGAATACATGAAACTTGTGTTTCTAATTGAAGATTTCAACTAATTAATATTATAAAATCTTTATTAGCCATTTATTAGTAATGGGTGATTGGCAGGGCCATTTAAAATAAAAGTCAAATTCATTCAAACTTGAAATTAATTTGGAAAGAAATTGTCTCTGCAGAAAATTTAAGTGTATGGAAAACTTGATACATAAAAAAGTTTTGTTTTGCAATATTTCTTTGCTTAAATTCTATCTTGTGTTAATGTTTTAAAAGTTTATAGAAATAACATTTTATGGAGATTCCACTGAGGTTAAATATTGACATGACAGAATTAAAAATATTTTTTCACAAAAACCAATGTTTAAAAACACAATATGTGAATAATTTTCTTGACTTTTTTACTCTTCATTTTGAACCAGAAAGATGTATGTTCAACAAAGATAGTCTGCCACTTCTGACAGCAACATACAATAATTATCATGTATACATGAACATAAAATTTGGTCCTTTGTTCATTGCAAACTTCTTCCTCTGAAGTTCATGATTATATACTGGTGCTGCAAATAATTAAATCTTAGCCTTTCTGTGCCATTACACCGCGACCACTACATGTTCTAAAATTTTTATTCAAAGCTAAATCGAGAAGTTTATAACATTCCTTTTGCTGTTTGTTCTTTTATTTTGTAAAGTAAATCATTTTGTGATCATCAGTGTATCATAGCTTAACCTTTTAAGAGAGAAGTATGCAGTGTTTATAGTGTCTGTTTACATGGCTGTATCACAGTGACATACTTCATCAGTCTCGTTATCTTGGTTTTTATCAGCCACATATTTGATACAAATGTATGTTTAAGATAATTGCTGCTTATGAATTATTTATTTGCCCATTGTGGCTGAGAGGGTTGCCTTTAATAAGGCATCAGAATTGCAGCCACCGTTTATCCCTACATGATCATAAGAGACATCTAAATGGGTTAACCGTTTGAATTATTAGAGTCTTATAATGATGCATCTCTTGGTTCCAGCAGGCGTAGTGGTTTTGACCACTAGTGTTGTTTTTAGTTTGAAACAATTGAGGTTATCCAAAATCATTTTTTCCTGTTTCGGCGCCATATGACCTTAATTGTATTGGTGTGCCAAATAAAACAAAACAAACAAACAAGCATTGTTTATTTAAGTTGGATTGTGATAAAAGCTTGAGACTTTTTTGATCCACTCACTCATCCTTTTCTTGGAACTTACTTGTGAGTAATGGTGTAAATGAGGAAAATTTGTTGTGCCAAACCAATGATCCCTGTGTCAAGAGGCAGACATCTTAATCACTAAACTGTGCTGCCATTCATGATTTTAGATTGTTTTAGTTTGTGTCAGCATAGTTATATGTGGAGGTGCACATTATTTAAGCCATGAATTACTTACATGACAGCTTGCCTCCAGATTCATGCTATTTTTTATGAAAATTTGGAAAGTACTTACCCTATAGCCTGCTGTATTGGTGTAATGGATTTGTCATGCTTTGAAATTTAAACAGTCCATTAGAATTGTAACGGATTTAAGTTAAAAGAAATACAAAAATTTAGCTACCAACAATATAGAGCATTGGTCAGACTGCATGAATTTAAGAATAAATGATTTTATTTTTGTAAAGGACTATGCTAGGACATAATGACAGAAACAATGCAAGTAAATGCTGCTGAACATGTAGACGCATAAATCTTTTTAGGATAAAAAATAGCAGACACACTAAATTATGGTTCTCTTCTATGATTATATAACTTTTGACAGCTTTGTGGATAAAATTGATGTAAACCATTAGAATAAAATCTGGCCAACCTGATTCCTGTGTTGTCTGACCCGTGTTGACTGCTCGATTTTAACATTTCGATTTCGAAAATTCCCCATATTAATCCTTTACCTGTTAAATTTCTTAAATGGACTTGTACAGCTGCCATTTTTGGAACTGGCCATTTTTGATTTTGGTCAGGCCATGTATGTCATCTCTAGAACATTGAGAGCATAAATGTTACAATATTTGTTCCACATATTAAATGTGTGACATCATATGTTGATACTGTGTGTATGTTACAATATTTTGTTCTCAATATTAAATGCGTGACATCATATGTTGATACTGTTTTGTTTGTTCTGGTTTTCAGTTATCTTACGTCGGTCATGATATAGAGTCTCTACCACAAAAGTTGATTGAAGATTACTCAAAGGTGACAACAAGATTAGATCTGAGCTTTAACCAAGTTAAGTTAGTACTGTTTTATTTTCTTCTTCTTCTTCCTTAATGTTTACATGTAGGTACATGACATCATATTAACTGTATCATCATTGTGATTTATGACATGAGTTATTAAATACTATTTTAGGCAAATTGTTGTTTCAGTGATAGTGTGATTTTAAAAAAGAAATTATCACATGGATATTTTTGTTACAGTGGTTATCAATCATGATAATAATAGACTATTTTAGGTTGTTTGTCAGTTTGTTTATAGCTCGACTATTCGAAGAATTTGGAAAGCTATTGTACTCACCTTGGGGTCGCTATCACTCTTTGGTTAAGTTTTGCTTGCATTTTTAGTTGGTATCTCCAATACTGCCAAAGGGAATTGGTTGAAACTTCACACACTTATTTGAGAGCATAATAGGAGGTCACTGTCCAAGGCCCTTAACTTTAACATGAATTTTGGGGTTTGAAACTACAATATCTATATCAGGGGTCCAGTGCTCTTTCTTGGCTTTTAATTGTATGTTTACTTCCAAGCAAAACATAATATATTCCTAGAACCATTTATTCTTTCAAACTCAACTAAGGTGATCTACATAATAGACTCAATTGTAAATGTAGGACAGTTTATCCTGAAGATGATTTGCCATAGTTAAGTTTCACCTTGGACAATAATATTGAGTATGATAGATTGGCCTTAAAATATTAATCATTTGGAGGTATCATCCTTGAAACCTAACTTTAAAGTTATGAATGATTAAGAGTTATGGTCCTTGAAGCCTTACCTTAATAAATTAATGATGTAGAGTTTAATGGTCCTTTAACTTTATTTATGATTTATGACTATGGTCCTTGAAACCTTACCCTTTAGTTATTAATGAGTTGGCGTTTTATGGTCCTTGAAACTTTAACCTTAAAATTATTAATGATTTAGGGTTGTTGTCCTTGAAACCTTACCTTAATTTCTTTTTGATTTATGATTATGGTTCTTGAAGCCTTACCTTTATTTATGAATGATTTTGAATTAAGGTCCTTGAATTCCCAATATTAATTTATTCATGATTTAGAGTTAAGGTCCTTTAAAACTTAACCTTAATTGAACAATGATTAGTTAAGATCCTTGAAACCTTTACCTCTTAATTTATCAATGATTAAGAGTTAAGGTTCTTAAAACCTTAACAAGGTCCGTCAAACCTTATTCTTAATTTTTCAATGATTTAGAGTTATGGACCTTGACACCTTACCATATAATATAAAGTTAAAGAACCAAATTCTTAGGGAATATTATAGTTTGACAATGCTTTTTCTGTTACAGTCTTTCCATTATCAACTGTTAACTTTGTTACAAGAAATATTTTTAAACATATTTTTAAAATAGATTTTGCTTTTTGATAAACTGAAAAGTTCCGTTCAATCATGTTAGGTTTCTAAATGTACCACATACATTTGCAAACAAAATTGGATTCTTGCTTAAGTGTTTATATATAGAGAGTACTTTAAATGTCCTTTAAAAGATTCTTTTGAAAATGAAAACATTGAAAAGCCTCTAGAAGCTGTCAGAAGCAATTGTCGGTTTTATTAAAGCTGAGCTATAGACAGATGTGTTTGTGACAGGTGTGATTGGAAAGGAACTTGAAATAAATGCTGACTAGACACTCAATTATCTACTCAACAAAACATTGTAGCATTTGTATTGCGTATTTGCAGTTTGACACTACACTCAGTAAAAATTTCTCAAACCTATTTAGAATTTCCTGTTATATTGTTATGCTTAATTTCTATGTTTTAGATCATTTTAACATTTATTCTTGCAGAATGCTGGTCTGAAAATGTAATATGGTGACTGTGGGCAGTTCCTTTCTTGCGATTGGTCAATTTTGAATTGTAAACTAAAATTCAGCAATCAAATGCTACAGTTTTAGACTGGTTTTAGTTAAGTTTTAGTTTTAGACACTCTTAAGGGGAAACCTTGAGGTAAGACAGTCTGGTCATCTTTCATTGGAATATTATTTCTGTTTTCCAGTAATTTGCTAGGCCTTGAAGAGTTTTGTCATTTACAAGAGCTGGTTTTAGACAATAATGAAATCAATGACTACACAGTGTTCCCTCATTTACAGCAGCTGCACACACTAACACTCAACAAAAATAAGGTATTTATCGTTGTGTATTCTCTTATACCCCAGCATTACTTATACCCCTGCATTGCTAAAAAGATCAGTTTAATGGGAGGGGTGGCCTACTGGTTATGATGTCTGCCTCTCAACCCAGGGATCATGGGTTCGAGCCTAATAGGGTCAGGACCATATTTCTTTATATGACACCTGAGTACTGGTTGGTTCCAGGAAGCGGACTCGCAAGTGATTAATATAAGTTGCTAGAACTTGTTTCGCAATCGAGCTTAAATGAATATATTTTAAATTAATCAGTTGGGCATTACATTATTTTTTGTCCAGTTTGTATCATGTATGTTTATCCTCTCAGAAGACAACATTAACTGAAAAATTACTAATTTTGTGAAATGGAATTGCCCGTCTTTGGAGCAGTTAATTCAAAGTTTAAGGGATTTCAATATCAGAATACAAAAATTGAGTAATCAATTAAATAACAATTACTTTAAAAAAACTTTTAAAACTGATCTGTGCCAACAGTATAGAGTATGAATTGAATTTGCAGGCCGTCCACGCATTATACTGGTGGTACAGGTCTTTCATTATCATGGTCAGCACTCAAGAAACTAATGTGTGTAAATTTTTGTATTTTTGTATTTTCAGTTAACAGATTTAGAACATTTAATAAGTGAGATCAAAAGTAAGTTACCTAAGCTGAAATACTTAAGTTTATTGGGGAATGCCGCGTGTCCAAATCAACTCTCGGCACATGATAAAGATGATGAAGACTATTTAAGATATAGGTAAGGTATAATTTATTTTAACTATTTTTATTTAACCCTTAACTTTGTAATTGAACTTGTCCACCTTTCATTTTTTAGACTATCAAGATGTAAATTTGAACTTAGTCAGTCAACAGTATAACACAATTTGAGTGTCTCATATAAGCTTGATTAAGGTAGTCTTATTGCAATGCTTTTCAGCCAAAAATGTTCTAACATAGGCCAATATCGTATTAAATTGGTCATTTCCGGAACATTATTTTTCACAATCTTTGGTATTCAATTGTTTTTAACCATTTATAACATAGCATTAAAGGATCGTTAGTTATCTAATGCCAAAGTTTTGGGAAAATAATGTTCCAGAAATAATCGATTTGCCACAGTAATGGCAGATGTTAGAATTTTTTGGCGGGATAACATTACCTTGAATATACAGCTTATTACAGTGATGTCTAGTGTTGTCCCGATTGTAGCTTAAAATCGAAAACTAATCGGACCACCCCGAAGTCGGCGACAATCGATAGTCCTTTTTAAAAATCGATTTTTAGTGTTCTACTGCCGCTGAAAAGTCAAGGGGCGTAACTTTATACACACGTGGTAATTTAGTTTATTTTAAGCGGCCATGGAAAATGCCAAACTCGATTATACTATCGGAAGACAATCAATTGTGGTGGTCCCATTATCGATAATGATTTCTGAGTCCGATACCCAACACTAGTGATGTCCCTACTGTTAAATTATCTGCCTCTCTGCTTAGAAATTGTGGGTTTGAACCAAAATGTGGTCATGGCTGCTTTCTATAAGTGACATGAGCGCTGGTTAAGCCAGGGGCAGATTTAGGAGTGTCAAAAATGACCTATAACCCACTGAATTTGTGTAATAGACTTGCCCTGCTTTGAATTTGGAACAGTCCATTCAATGTTTAAGGGATTTCAATATCAAAATACAAAAATTGAGCTATCAACAATATAGAGCCTGATCAGACTGCATAGAAGTTCAGGCTGGCCTGGCTTTATATTGGTGACAAAGGTTAATCTTTTTTGGTTCCAGCCGGCTAATTTAAGGTTAAATACTTAGATAAAAGCAAAGTTAAATAAATTAAACAGTTGTTTTATTCCCAAATATTTTCTGTGAAAGTTTGGTGTTGCAGATATGAGTCTATAGTAAAGTTAGTGTTAACACAATTATTTTTTAATTATCATAAGTGGAGTTGTGAAAAGTGTACTTTAACAAATGTTTGTTACAACAAATAGTGTCATTTGATATAAGTTTATGACTCAGTCTTCAGTCATAAGACTTTGTGGTTTATTTATGTCTGTAATTATTTATTTATATCCTGTCTTGTGATCTCTTATAAACTCATACTAAACAGTAAACATAAATTACTGTAGAATCATTGATATTTGTTGATGATAAGCTTTTTTTTACTTTATAGCAAAAGTTAACAATCAGAATTAAACTGTCCACAACTATCAGTTTAAAAGCACATAATGCCTCAGAAATCCACATTTTTTTTCAGTTCTCATGAAATGTCAAACATGTGTTTAATAATGGATTAAGAGCATATGTCATGTCTAACAACTTAAATAAGTAGCTCTGAATACCGGTATGCATTAATGTGTCATAAAGGTAGCAAATTGTGAAGAAAATAGTATTTTGACTTCTATACAAAATACAAATTCACTATAGTTATACCAACTACTAGCAGAAGAAGCAACAAATATATGTTGTTTCAAAATGTGGCAAATGAGTAAATTTTTGGAAATTTTAACAAGATACCTAAAATAAACAAGTTTCTGAGTGACAAAATGATTGCATTTCTGAGGCATAATGGGCCTTTAATGTATATGTTGTATCTATCTACTAAAACTTGAACCGTCAGAGGTTTTATTTCAGTGTATTTGCCAGAGAAATACCTAAGAACACTAAAAACTTATATATTTTTTAAAATGAATTATAATGAACAAACTCTTTTCAGGAAAGAAAACTATGTTCAAGATTAGATAATTTATTTACAAGCTTATAAAGAAAGTCACCAATAAATTAATAAAGCAGATACTCGTAAAATTCCTAATAAACACCCCTCCCTTAATAAAGGCCCCCCAAGATATTTTGATGTGGGAAACATCTACTCATCAGTGCTGATCTCATGAGAAAATCCACTTGTCTTGTAGGCACAGGACTTCATTTCATGGAGAGTCCTAAGTCGGTCCTAAGACAAAAAATTTGTGTTTCAAAGAAAGTCTTAAAAACACATATTAACTTACGACTCCTATATTTATGACAAGAAACAGTCATACCCAAGTAAGTCTAGTCATGTAAACTGACCTGGTTTTAAACTGGCGACAAAATAATGCTACTAAACCACGTGTAGGTTCCAGGAGGGTCAGAATTATTTCTAAGCATACACAGTAATGATTATAAAATATATTTTCAGGTATAAAGTGCTGTATAATTTACCAGAGTTGAAGTTTCTAGATTCAACACAAGTTACATCATCAGATATGGAGGAAGCCAAACGTGTTGGACCGTTCTTGACTGTTGTTAGAGGCACAGATGCACCCATTACAGTAAGTGTCTTATTTTCCATGTTTTGTTGCATAAAACTTATTGTTGAAAAAGAATGAAATCAGTATATAAAGTAATACATGTATAGATAAAATGAAACAATAATATCTACTTTCTTTACAATAAGTTTTTTATACAAAATGTTTGAAAACATAACTCAAAAATAGGTATTTTCCTGAATCTGTAGAAATATTGTGTACATAATTATGGTCTTGAACGATAGCTTTTTTTCCAAGGCAACTTAAAACTTGGGAATTGAATTTGGAAACCTTAAAAACAAGGATAATAATGTGAGGGTTTGGTGCAAAACAGCTGTAACTCATAGTACATAATGAAGGAGTAACGTCTGTTTTGCACCGATCCATCAATATATTGAATATTGTCATCAGTATAAATGTACAAAAAATTTGTTCTCATAAACCATTCTGTTGCTTTGTTGTCACTGTAACACTATACTTGTAATCTGTACTTATTTTGTTTTATTACAAGAATAATGCAATACAACATGACAACATTAATTAAAATGCAATCAGTGACTGTACTTTACAGTGATGATTATTTTGCCTTTTTTTCGTTAAGAACATCTTTTATTCATTGTAATTTCAGAAAGACTTGACATTACAATATCATCTATTATTATTGTTTGATAACACTTTTTGAGACTTATATAACGTATAATTTAAGACTATATGAAACGACTGCTAATGCATAAGTATTTGTATATATGATAGGGTATTGATATAAGGAATTATTATAACAAAGTCTATGTTATTTTATAGTTTCCAGAGGAGAGTCCCCCATCTCCAAGCCCTTACTCCCCATTACCAAATTCTGGAAGAACTAGTGAAGAGCATCAAGGTAAGACTGACTTCCAAATTTTTGTTTGGTATTATGTAACAGGGAGAGAATTGGATTAGAAATCCAGGGGTCACTGATTTTATCCTCTGGCAAGACATAATTTCTCATATTATAGTTGGTACAAACATATTTATTTAAGCTCAATTGCGAAACAAGTTCTTGCAACTCATATTAATAACTTTCGAGTCCGTTTCTTGAAACCAACCAGTACTGGTGTCGTATTAAGAAACATGGTCATGACCCTTGATTGTTGATCATGGACAATTGTGTTTTGTTGATTTGTCTTTCACTGCTTATTCAAATAATAGTCGTTCACTTGCAGAGAAATTTGTAGTTAAAGGTTTGTTTTCTAGGAAAACCTGTGAGATTGATAGGCCACTGAAATATGACATAAAATAGTATGTTAAACTCAGTGTAAAATCCAGAAAAACCAAACTTTGACTTTTACATGGCATCCATACCTAAACCATGTGCATTAAGCTCTTAATGTATTAAGATGATGTCACATACTATTCTTTCCATGAGCTTTGATAAGTTCCAATTTTAATAATGTTTGTTTTATTTCTATATTTCAGGGACTTATGGAAAGAGTAAATATGTGTACTATGGTAAACATTCAGAAGGGAACAGATTTATACGCAATACTGACCTTTGACCTATTTATAATAATCATAAAACTGCTTTGCATTCGTCTGCTTAAATGTCATTTGTGCCATAAGGTCATATGACTTCATCACTAAGTTAAAGAGATATTGCCTTTGTATAAACTTGGGATGTAGTTTTGTAGACTTTAGGCGATAAACTAGGGGTCAGAGGTCAGGGGTCAGTTTAAATCACCAGCAGCTGATAGGCCAGTCTTTACTTTGTGTCATCTGTGATCAAAAGGTCGAAGAGATAATTCACTTTATTGAATAATTTGAAATTAAATTATTCATGGATAACTGTTTCTTAAAAGTCGATTGCGAAATCTTTGAAATAAGCATTTCATTTATAAAAAAGTTCCTTAATCTTCTGCAGTTATGGATTTGCCCCACTTTAAATTTGGAACAGTCCATTCACAGTGCAGGGTAGCCTCAGGCTCTTTGGTTCCAGGAGATTAAAAGTTGAAATAATGACAAATTATTTTGTTAAGATTTTATTATGTTTATTTCACTATTAGTGACGGGTTTTGAAATGTTGTATCAAAATTCTTGGGGGTTTTTTTTAGCCGAAGGTTTCATACTTAAAAATGTAAAAAAAAAAAAATCATATTTTTATTGCACATTTTATTCATTTTAAATTACTTTTTAAATGGACAAGTTGAATGAAGAAGCATGATTAAATGTCGTTTGATGTTGTTGTTATTGTTTTCATTTTGATACATGTTTTTCATTTGATAAATGTATATAAACAATATATTCTGAACAAGTTTTCCTTGCTTGTATAATATTTTGGTAGATATTTTTCATACAAATCTTAAGTGTTTTTCATAGAGATACAGAACTATTTTCTGCTCATCTTACATGGCAGTAACAATGTTATTGAATTTAAGGAATAGATACTGAATACAATAAGTATCATGAAGGAAGATAAAAAAGTTAATTCAGTTCAGAATAGAATTTAATATAGGTATTCCTGACACTGCTAAAATTTTATAATGGACTTGTCCTCGTTTGAATTTGGAACAGTTCATGGGTAGATAAGGGTATTCCATTTTCAAAACCCTTAATCCTTAACCCCATTCAGTACTTATTATGAAAATTTTCCCACTCCTTCAAATGATAAATGGTTTTGTCCAGAATGAAAGATGGACAAGTCCATTTAAGATATTTAGTGTGGTAATGGTTAAATCAAGCAGCCAACAGTATAAATTCTAGGCAGACGGCACCAATGTGCCAGTGCTTACATAGTTCTATTATTATGGGATTAGGAAGAAATTATTGTAAATAGCTCTTTTTGACTCAAGTGCAGTCTGTTGGAATGACATAAAAGATTTAATTCAATTTCCCTTAATCTCTAAGCAAGCCAATATAAAATATTTGTTTTTTCATATGTTATAAAATCTATGTTTCCTTTCATCCGTTAACAAGACATTTATATGTTGGGATAATAAATTACAAAAAGGGAGGACAGGTATTTTGAAGTAGAAGAGATTTTTATCAAGATTGTTTATGTTTTCATACAGTCAAGACTAATTGACGGAATTTAGAATAGAACACTCTATGTCTACCTCTCTGCTTAGATATAAGTAGTATCTTATTACACTTTATTATCTTTTATTACATCTTATTATGTTTTATTACAATGAATTGGTTATTTTATTACAATAAATTGGTTTTAATGAATCTACTTTTGTGAGAGCTTATATTCTGTAGTATGTAGACGTAGTTTCAGGAAATTTTAATTAGGAGGTTGTCTGTCTAATTATTGTAGTTTGTAATTGTATTTATTGTTGGTAAAATAAACTTAATAAACAGGGATATAGTGCAATTTCTAGTGTACAAAGGAACTTTGCCAGGAAGAAGAGAAAAGAGATTTCTTGTTATACCAGTTTTTATCTTGACTATTCAAATAACAGGGAAAGCTGTTGTACTCACCCCGGTGTTGGCGTCACACTTTGGTTAAAGTTTCTGCTTTGCAAGTGATTGTCTCCAAAACTACTGAAGGGAATGGAAAGAAACTTCACACACTTGTTGTCTGTGATAATCTAACATGATGGGCACAGGTCTCATAACTCTTAATTACCTTTTTACAGAGTTATGCCCCATTTCTTACTGTCAAGTATAGCAAATAGTCCAGCATGCTGTCTTATGGACAGCTCTCATTATTTATTATATGTGCTAGAAGATTGTCACAAAATCATTTACTTTGGTCTGAGTAGATGTAGATAGTATAGATGTACCCCACTCTTCTGAGGGTTAAAAATCATCATCACTCCTTAGTATTTAGTCATCCTCACTCTTTAGAGTTTAATACTCTATTCTGAGGGCATAAACAATTCATTATTGCTGCAGAACAAAGCATTATTTTCTAAAATGTAGAACTTTGAGATTATATTTTCAATTGTTATTTGTCGGTTTTGGCAGCATTGTGAATGAAAGGGATTTAACTGAGATTTGCAATTCAAATAATGATTGATATTGTTGACAAACGTTTTCTTGTGTGAAAGAAAACTGATTATTTCTCTTAAACAGGGTATTTGTCATAGATATTTCAAGTTTAAGTGTATCATTAGGTTAAAGTTTTGTTTTAAGTTTATAAAAGAGGGTTCAATGCACCTTTCTTTGTGCATTAACATTTGCAGAAGCATGTGGACACATTTAAAGCCCCAGCCCATAGGGCCACATGAAAAAAGGTGCATTATAGCGCTATTCTTGCATAAAAGTCTACATCCGTTTCAATATTTTTTTATTTTTTTTGTTATTTATTTTTTGTAAACAGAAACTGGTTTTGTCAGGCTTTTCACATGCTAGTGCAATGCCATTGACAGTTTTGTTTTGACAATTAAATGGTTGGTCAATGCAGTAAGCTGTTTTTACATGGCACAGCAAGTCATGCATATTAAAAACATGCAACAACAGTGTGTGCTTGCATGTTTTTTTTTCTCTGTTAATTTATACCAGGGTTGGCATTTTATGCAAGAATATAGTATTTTTCAACATAACCTTTTCTTGTATCATTTCCATAATTGATGAATTAATTATTGTAGTTTTTAATTTCTAGAGTGAATCAATAAAAGTCTACAATCTAAGTCACTATAAGTATTTATATAAACTGTTAAACAATTAACTTTTTATTTTTTATCAAAAGATGTAAAAGGATTTCAGGCAAGTTTAAGCTGGTTATATTTGTTTTGTTAAATTCAAACTGGTGCTTTTATTTTGTTATGGCTGTAAATTATGCTTTTAATGTTTAGTAATCTTTAAGCTTTTTGTTTAGTTTCTTGTCTTTTTTGAGAAAATATTTTACATGTTCAATTTTAATAATAATAAAGTGATATCTATTAAAATATTTCTTATAAAATTTATAAATGGTAAAATTGTGTTGGTTCAATAATCCAAAGTTGATTCTCAAAAGAGTTGTAACATAGAATGTTTCTGCTACTTAACACATACGTGAATATTGTTTATAAACAGAATAAAAAAATGTTCCTAACAAAATATTATACTCATAATAGGATAAGTAAGAAGAATATTACATGTCATAATATTATACTGTTAAGCAATAATAGCTTGTGCATGCACCAATCCCTAATAGGAAAACAAACAGTCAAACATATTTCTTTCATACAGATATTTTAGAATTATTCTTTTTCAAAATAGAAATAAATCTTTTGTTAAGTGCCAGTAGCACATATTTAGCTTTATACATTTTGTTTTAGTTTAAGATTAAATGAAAACTACCTATATAAAGATTAAATGTAGCTAAATAGAAAAGAAAATGGTAATATTTACAAAAAGTAGTTCTGTTAACTTATCTACAAAAAGTAGTTGTTTTTTTTTTGTAACAATATTTTAACATTATGATAAAAAGAAAATGTTTACATTTGAGGGTTATTTTTTCTTTTGTTAAAGATTTATTTTTCCAAAAAATTGTGATAAGGAATTTTTATCATGTTTATGTTACGTTATTTAATGGGTTGTATGTATATACATGTATGCACGCTTTGAAATTATTTAATCCTCATACTATTATTATGACTATATTTCTTATATGTTGTAAATGTTATTTGGTAGAAAATACATGAATAAAACAAATTGCATACAAAAATTCTGGCTTTTTATTTATTTGTTTCTGTCATATTTAATTTTATGGACTGATTTGAATTTAGTCATGAAACAAATAGTCACAGTCATAGGGGGCGTGGACAGTGACTTGCATTTTTATATGCCTGAAAAAATTTCGGGCATATTATGTTATACCCCCTGGCGCATCTGTCTGTCCATTAGCAATTTGGTTTCGGAAGCATAAGTTCCATTTGGGCAGGCTTTGGCCCACAATATTCAAACTTTTTAGGATGATGGTCCATATTGGGTAGAAGACCCCTATTGATTTTGACATGGTCAAAGATCAAGGTCACTATTACCTTAAAAATGAAAACAGTTTTCGCTCAATAACCTTAGTATTAATCAACCTACAGCTGTAAAATTTTATAGGCTGAACAGCCATGTCCAATACATGACCCCTATTGATTTAAGGTTCATAAGGTCAAAGGTCAGGGTCACAATGACCTTAACACTGAAAATTGTGGTTTCTGGAGCTTAACTTGAGTTCCATTTAGCCCACAGTGTTCAAACTTCATAAGATGACTGTCAATATTGAGAAGAAGACCCCTATTAATTTTTGAATCACAAGGTCAAAGGTCAAGGTCACTATTACCCTAAAACTGAAAATGGTATTCGCTCAATAACCTCGGTAAATCAACCTACAGCTGTAAAATTTTATAGGATGAACAGCCATGTCCAATACATGACCCCTATTGATTTTAGGGTCATAAGGTCAAGGTCACAATGATCTGTACACTGAAAACAGTGGTTTCTGGAGCATAACTTAAGTTCCATTGGCCCACAGTGTTCAAACTTCATAGGATGATTGTCAATATTGAGTAGAAGACCCCTATTAATTTTGGGGTCACAAGGTCAAAGTCACTATTACCTTAAAACTGAAAACAGTTTTCAATTAATAACTTAAGTATTAATCAAGCTACAGCTGTAAAATTTTATAGGATGAACAGCCATGTCCAACACATAACCGCTATTGATTTTAGGGTCATAAGATCAAAGGTCAGGGTCACAATGACCTTAACACTGAAAATTGTTGTTTCTGGAGAATAACACAAGTTCAATTTGGCTTACAGTGTTCGAACTTCATAGGATGATTGCCTATTTTGAATTAAAGATCCTTATCTATATTGAGGTCACAAGGTCAATATCAAATGACCTAATTATTGTTAACAGTTTTACAACTGTCAAACTTCATACTTAAATCACTTATATCGAGTACATTAATTATAAGCCTTATAAAATTTCCTTACATTATGTTATACCCATGGCATTTTTCAGTCCATCCGTCGTAGCATTTTTACTTACAAGATAACAACTTGATGGTAGTGCTTTGGAAACAGCAACTGTATAAATATATGAAGGTTCTTCAGCTATAATGGAGGATTGCTTTTTGAAGGAGGTAATACTTTATCTAATTCCCATGTCTTACAAATGCTTCATCCTTACTAAAAAACCATTTTCGGGCATATAATGCTCCGCCTAATGGTGCTCTTGTTCAATAGTGTTCATGAACAGACTCAATCAAACCGAGCCAGTGCAACATTTTTGTTTTGGGCGTCCTATGAGATTCCGTTTTCCTTTATTTAAGCTTTATAAGGAGTAGCTATACATTACTTTTTAGTATTGGAAGAATAATGGAGCTGTCTTTGGCTTCGATACTGTATGCCGCATTCTTTCTGATAAACGTCTGTAAAGCACTTGAAACACACTTTCTATACAAATAATTTAGATCATCATTGTAGGTTAAGGAATAAGACCTAAAATTCTTACGTGAGGTTTTACTGAATTAAAACTTTGTAAACTCATTATTATGGTTTTACATTTAAGTGTTGCAAGCACCTATGGTATTGGTATCCACTTGGAAGTTTGGTCACTGACCATGGCCCATAACTCTGCCTTTTCATCAAGTCAGTGAGTGACAGATAATAATTATAGATATACATGTATGTCCAAAATTAATGATTATTTAGAACTACATGTATTAGTTTGTTTTGTTGGATTAAGGATCCATTATAATAGTATTTTTAGTGTAAGTGATGTCTTTCGTACAAGAAATTGCCAGTTTCTCCACTACAATCATTAAATTTTGAAACAGCAGTGAAAAATATTCATTTTGGCATTATATAATTTGAAATCAACTAAATTTTCACAAACCTGTCACAGAAAAATTTGTCACATCCATTGCTCATCAATTCAAGAATTCAGGGCCAGTAAAACTAATACTCTTGGAGTTAATCCAAAAGCTTACAGTATTTTTTTTTGTATCGGCCTGTTTAACTCCTACCTTTAATTCACTGTTCTTTAAGGTGTACAATTACATAATATGAGCCGCGTCACGACAAAACCAACGTAATGCGTTTGAGACCAGCATGGATCCAGACCAGCCTGCGCATCTGCGCAATCTGATCAGGATCCATGCTGTTCGCTTACAAACCTTATTACAAGTAGAGAAACTGATAGCGAACAGCATGGATCCTGATCAGACTGCACAGATGCGCAGGCTGGTCTGGATCCATGCTGGTCGCAAACCCATTATGTTGGTTTTGTCATTATGCAGCTCATATATACATATTCAACAATTAGGACTTATTGACTTATAATTCAAAAACAAGCTCGATACCTTCCCAGTTTTTATTTGTGTTTTTTTAGCTCGACTATTCGTAGAATAATCGAGCTAATGCAGTCACCCATTTGTCGGCGTCGGCGTCCCTGTGGTTAAGTTTTTGTATGTAAGCTGGTATCTCCATAACTACTGAAGGGAATGGATTGAAACTTCACACACTTGTTCTCTATGATTATCTAAGATGATTGGCACAAGTCCCATAACTCTGATTTGCTTTTTTACATAATTATGCCCCTTTTTCGACTTAGAAATTCTTGGTTAAGTTTTTGTATGTAAGCTGGTATCTCCATAACTACTGAAGGGAATGGATTGAAACTTCACACACTTGTTCTCTGTGATTATCTAAGATGATTGGCACAAGTCCCATAACTCTTATTTGTTTTTTTACATAATTATGCCCCTTTTTCGACTTAGAAATTCTTGGTTAAGTTTTTGTATGTAAGCTGGTATCTCCATAACTACTGAAGGGAATGGATTGAAACTTCACACACTTGTTCTCTGTGATTATCTAAGATGATTGGCACAAGTCCATAACTCTTATTTGCTTTTTACATAATTATGCCCCTTTTTCGACTTAGAAATTCTTGGTTAAGTTTTTGCGTGTAAGCTGGTATCTCCATAACTACTGAAGGGAATGGATTGAAACTTCACACACTTGTTCTCTGTGATTATCTTAGATGATTGGCACAAGTCCCATAACTCTGATTTGCTTTTTTACATAATTATGCCCCTTTTTTGACTTAGAAATTCTTGGTTAAGTTTTTGTATGTAAGCTGGTATCTCCATAACTACTGAAGGGAATGGATTGAAACTTCACACACTTGTTCTCTGTGATTATCTTAGATGATTGGCACAAGTCCCATAACTCTGATTTGCTTTTTTACACAATTATGCCCCTTTTTCGACATAGAAATTCTTGGTTAAGTTTTTGTGTGTAAGCTGGTATCTCCATAACTACTGAAGGGAATGGATTGAAACTTCACACACTTGTTCTCTATGATTATCTAAGATGATTGGCACAAGTCCCATAACTCTGATTTGCTTTTTTACATAAAAATGCCCCTTGTTTGACTTAGAAATTCTTGGTAATGTTTTTGCGTGTAAGCTGGTATCTCCATAACTACTGAAGGGAATGGATTGAAACTTCACACACTTGGTCTCTGTGATTATTTAAGATGATTGGCACAAGTCCCATAACTCTGATTTACTTTTTCGCATAATTATTCCCCTTTTTCGATTCATAAATTTGTGGTTAAGTTTTTGTGTGTAAGCTGGTATCTCCTACTGATGGGAATGGATTGAAACTTCACACACTTGTTCTCTGTGATTGTATTGAAACTTGAAGGGTTTGTACCTTTTCCTACAATTTGATGTTTTCATATAGGTAAGCATTATTATACTCAATGAAACACCCTTGTGACAAATTTTCGAATAGTCGAGCGTTACTGTCCTCCGACAGTTCTTGTTGCTTTTAATGTTTGTTACCATATTTCAAGATCATGAAAAGTTTAAATAAATTAAATTACACAATTTTCATTCAGCTTTCATTTTACTATGTACTAACTGTAGAATATGCTTTTAAATACCACAACATTATCCTCCTTTCATTAATAAAACTTAAAGAACAGTGAAGAAATTAACAGCTAACTCACATTTGAACCATGGAGAGGAAACACTTAACACTGTATCAGCATAATCCACCATCTTGAATTTGCCAAAAAAAATTTAAAAAATTATGACATCAAAAAAAGGACAAAAAGTATCTTAATGTAAAATGTAAAAATGAGAAAAGATAAGGAAGATGTTAATTCAATACTATCAGTAATGGACGAAAATGTAAACACCTTGGGGTAACAATAAATATTCCATATTGATACAAGATGGTGGAAATTGAGCAAGGAATTGTGGGTCTGGACAGTAAAATTTTCTACTTTTACAGCTGCAAATCCCTCTGTCTGTTAAAAGTCTATGTCTGAACACAAAAATATTTAAGGGTAGAAAGACAACAACAACAAAATTAAACATTTCTAAACAAATCTATTGGCACTTTTCAGCTGCGAAAAATACATATTAACAATGTCAAAATTAAAGCTACCTATATATAAATGTACTTAAGCTGTCTTGAGTATTCAACATGATAATGAATGAAATAACTTCATAATGAATGAACCCTATCCCTTACTACAGTTCAGAATGATATTTATTCATAGTAAAATATTTGTAATACGTATGTTTGTTATCTCAAATTTCATTGGACAATATTCTATATAAAACAGGGCTGCAGCAAATAAATGATTTTTTTTTAAAATTTAATGAAAGGCAGAAATTGTGTGGCATTCATTTATAAAATTTGTTATCCACTTTTAACCTTTGAAATTGGTTATGGAAAGCTTATACCCTTGAGCTCTTTCCTTAATTATACATGTTAAAAAACTGCAATAAATAAGAATTGTGTGTTCAAAATATGAATCTATTCTTAAATCAGTAACCAAAACATGAGCACAGTTTGAATGAGAAAAGAAATGACGAGTGTACAACACAAGAAATCTAATTTTTTCTCATACAATGAACCAAAACCCTGCTACAAAATTATATATTTCTACAGAACATTATGCATGATGGTTAACTTTAGTTGATACAACAATATCCTAGGTTGTACAAAAAAAACAACCATGTACCATACAGTTGGAATATTTTTTTTAAAAAAGACACACACATACCTATTACAATGGTATTTCTAAATCTAATTTGCTAAGACTTTGTCATATTACCTTAAACTTAAATGCAACTTTAAAAAATAAATGCTATATGTGTAATAAAGAAGAGCGTTAAAATTGAGCAAATGATTGAAATATGACTTAATTTGTCCCCCTTTTTTGGCTATGTTGCAATAAAAATTAAAGCAGCATGCCTCTGGACAGATTCATGCAAATTTTCATTAAAATTTTGTAAATGTATTTAAAAGAAATATATTGACAAGTGATCTAAGGAAATTTTACTTATTAACACATTGCAAATAACATCCCAAATAATACCAAAAAGAGGTCAAAATACATGTATGCAAAAACAGCCCTTAGTAATACTGCATTAGTGACACAGTAGAAATATGGTGATAAATACTCCAAAATTCAGTCATAAATTGCACATGTTATATGAATCTTGAATGTTTTTACTTTTCTTAAAATCTTAGTACATATTTTTCTTAAGTTTGATTTCTTTGAATAGTTTTGCAGACACTTAAGTCATCTTTTACTTGATAAACTTGTATGTGTAATGGGCAGCTTTCGGGCAAACTACTAAAAAAGAATTGAGGAGCTTTGATATTTAAATATTTACATTTATTTATAAAAAAACAACAACAAAAAATACTAGCATCATATCTATACTAACAGAAAAAGGTTTTGAATTATATGTATAAAACTATCTAGTAAATAAATAATTAAATGAATAAAAAGATAAAAAAGAGAAATTGTTAACAATGTGAGAAAAAGTCACAATAAAACATTGTATATCACAGAGCATTAGTTTTCTACATAAAATTGATTTATAAACTACAAAAAACATTTCTTTTTGTGTCTACATATTGTAAATTTTCCTGCATATTGTCATTGAATAACAAAGATTGTCCCATGATTCTACATTTTCTAACTGACACTTTTTTTCTGCAGATTGCATTATTTGAAAAAGAAACACTATCAAAGAACAGTACAGATTGCAACATTTTGATGAAAGTTCAGTCATGAATCATTATCAGATGATTCTAAAACTAATTAAACTGATTTTTATTCTACAGATTGCATGAATTGTAAAAAGAACTATGAAAACCAATACACAATTATTGCAACATTTTGCTGATAGTTCAGATTGATTAATCATCTGCAGATTGCAAGGACTTAACACATATAACCTGATTCTCTTTGCAGATTGCCAGGCATTCATAGTCATATAAAGGTACTAGAATATACTATTCTATTGCTTTTTAATTAATCATCTGCAGATAGTATGGACATTCTAGAGGGTTCATACTCATCAGCAGATAGTATGGACATTCTAGAGGGTTCATAGTCATTTGCAGATTGTGTGGATATTCAAGAGAGTTCATAATCATCTGCAGATAGTATGGACATTCTAGAGGGTTCATAATCATCAGCAGATAGTATGGACATTCTAGAGGGTTCATAGTCATTTGCAGATTGTATGGATATTCTAGAGGGTTCATAATCATCAGCAGATTGTGTGGATATTCAAGAGAGTTTATAATCATCTGCAGGTTGTATGGATATTCTAGAGAATTCATAATCATCTGTAGATTAGATGAATATTCTAGATAGTTCATAATCATCTGTATTTTACTTTTTTGCAGATTGTATGGATATTTTTAAGATTTCATGATCATTTGCAGATTGATGGAAATACAAGAGTTCATAATCATCTGCAGATTGTGTGGATATTCAAGAGAGTTCAAAATCATCTGCAGGTTGTAAGGATATTCTAGAGAGTTTGTAATCATCTGTATTTTAATCATCTGCAGATTGTATGAATATTCTAGATAGTTCATAAATATCCTTATTTTAATTATCTGCAGATAGTATGGATATTTTTAAGAGTTAATAATCATCTGCAGATTTGAGGCTATTCAAAAGTGTTAATAATCATCTGCAGATTGTATGGATATTCTAGAGAATTCATAATCATCTATATTTTAATAATCTGCAGATTGTATGGATATTTCTGAAAAATAATCATCTATATTTTAATTATCTGCAGTTTGTATAAATATTCTAAAGAGTTAATAATCATCTGTATCTTGTCAGAATCTTTACAGATCTAGCTGTAAAAACAAATCATAAGCTTATTATTTACAGATGTTTTGTATATAATAACATTTGTTAACATTTTATCAATACTTTAAACATCTCTAAATTTGATGATTAACTTAAATGTATAAACATTATTAGGTATTCATATGTACTAGCCTACAAAAAATCAATTTCAAAGAACATGCTTAACATGTATCCATTAACCGACAGCATTTATCTTTATTTCTACTGACTAGTGTTAAAACTGATAACTAATTTATACAAAACAGCCTCAATATTCTCTATAAACATTATACATAACCTTATGGTAGGTCTTAACTATAAACCTACTGAAACCAAAAGTGAATAGCCACCAAAGCTTGAACTGAAAGTGATTAGCCTTTGGCACCAATAATAATACAGCCAGGTCAGCTTTCACATCTGTGCAGTCTGACCAGGCTCTATAATAGTGGCTGACTGAGTTTGAATTTTTATCATGATATCCCTAAAACTGAAAATAGACAATTCCAAAAATTATAACTTTGACAAGTTGATCTATCTAAAATTAAGAAGGATAAAGGTTAAAGAAGGCAAAATTTAAGATATGGATAATCTGTTAAAGATTTCAAGTCATATGGACAGAAATGGAAGCAGGACAAGTCCTTAAACAAAATTTGGCAGGTTAAAGAAGGCAGAAGCTATAGCATTTATCACCTGTCATGGATTTCATGTGATATGGACAAATATCAGACAGAATCACCTCTTTTGATTGATATATACATGTTTGTAACTAGTCACCAAAACATTCTAATGCATCGGCTTTTCCTTGTAGAATGTTTGTTTTCTTGTCACTGTCAATTCTCTAACAGATAGACCATCATCTTCATCTGCTGCAAACCACTTGTTACATTCAAAGAAACATTCTTCGTAAAGAGGAACTTTTAATTCATCCAAATCATCATCATCATAGTCACCAGTTTTTGACTTTCCTTTACGATTTAAACTTTCCTGACGTTTAAGACTAGAAGCACTGGTACTAATCCTACGACCAGATCGATTGAAAACCGGAGATTTCGATTTTCTACCATTCTCATCACTTTCATCAGAATCACTGTCATTTCTTTTATTAGATTCACTTCGAGATTTTTTGTCTTTTTTGTATCTGTCTTTGTCTTTACTATCTTTATCTCTACTTCGACTTGAGCCAGATCGTCTCGAAACTGAGCTTTCCCGGTCCGAACTATCACGATCACGATAGTCTCTGCGTAGTGCCGATCCTGGTCTTCTCATAGCGGAACCAGGTCTGCGTGGTAGTCCTGAGCGTTTTTCTTTATCTGAATCTTCTTCTGAACAATTTTCAGAATCACTTGAAACCGAAAATATGTCTCGCTTTTCTTTCCTACTTCCTTTCCTATCTTTACTCCTATCTTTTTCCTTCTTTTTATTCTTTTGCTTCTTTTTAGATGATTTTCCATCAATATCTTCATCATCAGTATCAGACTCCAGTTCATCATCAGAATCATACTTTCGGTCTTTCTTGTTTTTCTTTTTTTCATGCTTCAATTTTTTCTTGATCTTATGAAGTCTCTCCCTGGCCTCATCTTTGGGGATATATCTTCTTACAGTCACCTGATATAAGAAAACAAAGCAAATTGAAATGTGTAATCTATAAAGGTATGTGTATTCTATGAAGGAATGTGTATCCCATTAGGAACGGTTTTTGGTCATTATCTTACTGGTTGATCCACCTAATTGTCTTTCCTGGATTACTAACAAGTAAATACATAAACCAATTTCTCCACAAGTGACAGACTACTACATGAATTTTGAATTAGCAATTAGAGTCAAATGACCATCAGACACAATGTTGTAAAGAAATTGTCACAGAGAAATTAGGCCTAACCTGAGAATGGAACTAGGAACCCCTAGATTACTAATCTCAAGCTCTCCTTATTGAGCTAAGCAGGCCAACAGAATGTGTATTATATGAAGGAATGTGAGTAAATCTATCACGGAATGTGTATTTCATGAAGGAATGTGTAGTTATAAAGGAATGTGTAGTCCTTAAAGAAATGTGAATTCTATGACGAACTGTGTGTTCCATAAAGGAATGTGTATTCCATAAAAGAATGTGTATTCTTTGATGGAATGTGTATTAAATGCAGTAATGTGTTAATATAATTCTGTGAAGAAATGTGGTATTTCATAAAGGAATGTGTATACTTTGATGGAATGTGTATTCCATGAAGGAATGTGCATTAAATGCAGTAATGTGTTAATATAATTCTGTGAAGGAATTTGTATTTTATAAAGGAATGTGTGTTTGCTTCCACAGTTACAAAATATCATTAATATTTTGTTCTAGAAACATATAAATTTGTGCCATATTTGAAAAAACACATGAAATATTATGATAATGACCTTATGAAAGTCAATTTTTTACTTACATTATCTAGAAACCAGCCGGCCCCTGGACCAAAGTTGTCATGTCCGATCACAATATGCTTCATTGCTCCAACATTAATAGCTCTCAACTGAAATTTACGAGAAACACGATTATTTTGATTTTCAAAAAGAAAATTCATAAGCCCATAAAGATACAAATATCCATATTAAAAGATTGATAAACAATAAAGTACTGACTTTGTAGATTGATTTAAAGATGGCTCCCCTAAAATCATACACAGTCAGTTTATGCATTCCAATTAATGCTTTATAATTTATCTCAATTAACATTATAAAGATGACATGGTCTCTCGGGGTAAAAGTGCATGAACAGAAATAACACCTGAGGCAGAGACATGTGTTGTTGTTTTTAGTTATACGGAACCAACATTTTAATGTAATTTTTCACTGCATTGCATTATTACTCCGAGAGCCATTCATCATTGATCTTTATCAGGGGAGAAAACTAGAACACTATCTTTTCTTAAGTCTATATAGATTTCTTACCCCAGGGGAATATTGAAAACAAAAATATTGACTGGGTCAAATTTATTTCCAGGAAGATAGATCGAAATAACACCATGTGACTTTACATAAGTCTATATAGTAAAAAAGTTTATGTGAGGTATAATAAAACATTTTATCAACTGAATCTAAATGTTTTAAGAAAATACACATAATGTGTACAAGACATACTGGAACAAAATAAACAATTTCTGTTGTTTATCAGTCACATGCATCCATGCACCTTACAATATAGATAGAATTTATGCAATTAACAATATAGATAGATTTATTTCATGCACAAATGGGCACTAGAGTAGAACCACTGAAAAAGAATCTGCTGGTAGGATATGCTACCCACAGAGTTGAGAATGATTTTAAGAAACTCTGACCTCAACCACACTGCAATTAAGGTCCCTCAATTTACAAAGAGGTATTCAACACTGCTAATGAGGCCCCTCAATTTCAAAGAGGTACAATGTATTTAAAACCATAAACCAATATTTCTTTCAATTGTGATCATTCCGCAGAACTAACATGCAATTATTAAAACTGTGAGTGTTGACACATAAGAAATAAAAGGTTTCGGTGAAAATAAATAAATTAAATAACACCTTTTTTTTTCGTAATAAAAATTACTTTACCATACAGTTCTCCTGCTATGATTTACATCAGAAATTTAAAAATCTATACACATATTCTAGAAATTTTTGATAAATTGTCATTTGTAAACAAAGGTCAATTCCACACATACAATGGCAAAATTTATCAATTATCACAAATAACACCAGCTTTTCATCACAAGATCAAGTTTGTTTTTTCTTTATAAGTTATCTTTATGATTTCCAGTAACGATGCAAATATGAAAAAAATAATCTAGAAACTTTGTAGATAACCATAACTGCACCAAAGGAATTATTATAAAAGCACTGTGAATAATTTTTTTATTTTGCTTTTATATATATATATTTGAAAAAGTTTGGAACAATTGCGACCCCAAAATATTGCAATAGGATTTTAGTGGTTTGAAAGTGCAATATACATAGTTTTTATCAAAGTCCACAATAATCATATGAAAAGCATTGAGCTATTTTCTTGAAATAAAATAAACTTTGATATATACTTTTACCTACCTTTATCATATTACTTACAAATCAACTGTTATTATACTATACAATTATAGACCTATGTTTCATAAATCATCATTATTGTTATAATTTTTCCTATATTATCATATTATTATCATTATTATCATAATTGTTAAAATTATTATCGTACTCACATCAAAATTGTCAACCATGTTCCTCTCAAAATTATTCTTTGCGTCATCTAACTTGAGTTTTTTGGTGATGCCTTTCTCACCGGCCAGTTGTATAAAGACGTTAGCATCTGTGCCAGCGTATCGTACATCGCCAGTCTTCACGGTGATCTGATATCGAGTCTCCGTACCTATCAAATATCATAATTATATACATTTATATACTAGTACTAAATCATCTGTAATAACATGTAATAATACAACACATCTATATTAAAGGGCTTTTATATTAAAGAAGCTATCAACGTAGCTTACGGAATTTCAATGGTTCTGCTCAGGTGCCTGTCTTAAGGAAGCTATCCACCTAGCTTATGGAATGATGGTGGGTCTGCCTGTCCATGACTGAAATAATGTTACATGTTGATGAATTCTGTGTCATCCAATGGCAGAACTTGACACTTAAAGTACTTTTTCTTCAAGTTTAATTTAATTTCAAATGCAAATTTGCAGTTGGTGGGAAAACGAGTATTTGATAAGCTATTATTTTTTTATTTATATAAGACCAAAATTTTAACATAAAACATGCAATATGTATTAACAACTATACATGTATATCATTTTTGGACATCTACATGTACAATGTACATGTATAATGTAACCTAGACAACAATTAACAGGCATTTACACATCACAATAACAATTATACATGTACAGTGTATACATGTACAAATAAAACACAAAATAAACTACAACTGAAAAAGGAGACAGAAATTTAAAAAAAAATCAAGTTCACGATTTTTACATTATTCCACAAACAAATTTAAAAACTTGTTGTTTTGTATTTAAAGCAAAATTCAGTCACCAAATAGTGCTTATTTACATCACTTGTGTGATCAATATAGTTTGCTATATTTTTCAATACTATATAAGTTTACATTTCACACGCTTTCAAGCAAAGTGCCAAGGCTTACACCTCACGGTCCTGACCCATATGCTTCAGTATCACACATAAGATAGAAAGAAATAAATGAAACTGCCCAAGGTCCAATAAAGTGAAAGATTCAGTTTTAAGTAACAAGTTACAATGTAATGCAATGTAATGACATAATCTTTGCCCGTGAAAGATTCAGTTTTAAGTTACAAGTTAGAATGTAATGTAATGCAATGTAATGATGCAAGCTTTCCACTCCCAAAGTGCAGATAAGTAATATTGAGCTGTCAACAGTTAAGATTAATGCATTAGTGGTGATGGGGAAGTTATATTATAAAATTGAAGAAATTAACCAAAGGAATTATCTCTATATATACTAATGGTAGCTCAATTCTTGTATTTCAACATTAACATCCCTTAAACTAATCATATATGCCATACCCCCCTCCGGAGGACAAAATCCCCCAATTTTTCGACCTTGTCTCCCGATCTTCAGCCATTAGATCAAAATACCCCGATTTTCAAAAATCCAACCAACAAAAATTTTAAAGCATCATTTTTACTAATAAACATAATTTAGCAATACACTTAAACAATTTTTACAACTATACATGACTCAAGCAATTATCTCCTCTTAAAACAGCAGGATTCTTAAACGGCTCATTGCAATGTGTCAAAAACCTGTTCCAATTTCAAAGCAGGACAAATCCAATACACAAATTCAGCAGGTAAAGAATAAAAAATTGGACTGACATTTTAATATCTTATAATAGTAAATTTTGTATGACATTTATAAAGAAATCAGTATAGTATACATGTATATTATAAATATTGAATCTGCAAAACAATCAAACATCTGCATTTGATTGTTAATTTACTTTTCATTTTTTTTTTCTACATCATTCCTTTCAATAAAATACTACATACTAAATACCTGAATAATACATAATAAAATCCTTTACCTATTTTAGCAATAACTGGTGCTGTTAATAGTAATTGGCCCTTACATGAGAATTACAGTAAAATTCATACTGCTGAGTCGGCAATTATAGCAACTCTAAATTAATTATGGCTGGCTGATTCAGTCCATTCTAGAATAAAGGTACTTATGCAGTCTCAAATACTAAAAAAAGGTTTAGATTTAGTCACAATTCAGCACTTAAGGTCCAATGACTCTATTTCTGTTGTTTTGTAATGAATTAATAAAGTCTTTTAATGAATCATAAAAAGTTGTCCGTAGCTAAATTGCATAGCTAATTTCAAGCAAAAAACCTAAACACATACAGCATACAAACTTCACACCAGTTTTCTAACATGATGAACTAGCAAAGATAAAAAAAAAGCCCTAACAACCATATAACCAAAAACAACAAAAAACAAATATTTCAAATGCAACTGAATGAGGCGACTAGAAAATATGGAAAACTATTGAACTTTCTCCAGCAAAAAATCTATTTTAAAGCAGAAACTATTTTAAAAATGTTCTAACACTGTTATTTAACAAATGGCAATTTTTCATTCTTATAAAAGAAAATGAGCAGGTGAAGTTATATTATAAGGATTTTTCACCGGCTGCCTGTACAGACCGGATTGTCTCGCTCCAGGGTAACTGTTTACGGGAGTAACAAGGCTCTGCCGAGTTTCCGCTAAACAGTTACCCGAGAGCTAGATATTCCGGTCTGTTATGAGAGCTGATATTTGATTCCTTTTCTTGCATATAACATGTTTATCATATTTCAGAAGAAAAAAAACGAAAACTTTTATTTTCATTTAGCACTTATAGAAGCGTATGAATTTACAAATTCATTCATAATGGCAAAATGATGTCATTCTAAGAACGCAATTTATTCATGACATCATTTAAAGCACGAGACTAAAATGTCTTAAACGGGGGTGTAAGATAGGTTTTTTTCTAGTACTGGTGTAAACTAGTTTTGACTAGTTTGAGGTTCAAACCAGTGACCCCTGGATTACAAATCTGGATGCTCGCCTTTTTAAGCTAAGTTGGCCGACATATGAATACTATAAATGTCATAATTACATTGTGATCCAATGAAAATTGGCGTTACAAATCGACAGTATTTCAAGCTTTATATACTGTATACTGGTAAATATTTTCAATTGTTTTACCCTTAATAGCTGATACAACTAGCAAAATGAATAAACGAACAAAGGAAGTTAGTAAATAAAAATGTTACAGGGTAAAACTGCGAAAGATTACGTGCACTATATATATACCCATATGAGCTGAAAGAGAAAGTGTTAGAAATAACATAAACAGGGGTTGAGATATCAAAAAATACCAACAACTATTTTTAGAAGTATTAGAAATAACTTAAAGGGGAATTGAATATCAAGTTCAACAATAACCATTCTTATAGCATGCATACATTTAACATAATGCTACCTGGTCCAAATGACTTGTTTTTTATTTTCCTGTCTTTGTACGTTTCTATGAAATCCATGTAAAACAATCAATTATACAATAATAATGCATAATAATTATATAAGAACACAATATACTAGAGCAGATAATTTATTCTTTCCTCTTTACCACTGTTAAGATTTTATAGTAAATGAAATATGGACTATAATTCTTTGTATCTTAAGCTACATAAATAAATAGCTGACGTCAAGATAACAGTAAAGAGTCTGAGGTGTTTCAGGTGAGGGTAGATGTTTATGACCAAAGCACTTGTTTGTGGTCAAAGCACATGTTAATGACCAAAGTACATGTTTGTGACCAAAGTACATGTTTGTGACCTAAGCACATGTTTGTGACATAAGCACATATTTGTGACAAAGTACATGTTTGTGACCAAAGCACATGTCTGTGACCTAAGCACATGTTTGTGACCAAAGCACATGTTTTATGACCAAAGTACATGTTTGTGACCTAAGCAAATTTTTGTGGCAAAGTGCATGTTTGTGACCAAAGCACATGTCTGTGACCTAAGCACATTTTTGTAGCAAAGTACATTTTGTGACCAAAGCACATGTTTGTGACCAAAGTACATGTTTGTGACCTAAGCACATTTTTGTGGCAAAGTACATATTTGTGACCAAAGCATATGTCTGTGACCAAAGCACATTTTTGTGGCAAAGTACATGTTTGTGACCAAAGCACATGTTTGTTCCCTAATCACATGTTTGTGACATAAGCACATGTCTGTAACCAAAGCACAGTTCAGTGACCAAAGCACATGTTTGTGACCAAAGTACATGTTTGTGACATAAGCACATGTCTGTAACCAAAGCACAGTTCAGTGACCAAAGCACATGTTTGTGACCAAAGTACATGTTTGTGACCTAAGTACATGTTTATGACCAAAGCACTTGTTTGTGGTCAAAGCACATGTTTGTGACCAAAGTACATGTTTGTGACCTAAGCACATATTTGTGACAAAGTACATGTTTGTGACCAAAGTACATCTTTGTGACCTAAGCACTTGTTTGTGACAAATTACATGTTTGTGACCTAAGCACATGTCTGTTACCTAAGCACATGTTTGTGACCAAAGCACATGTTTGTGACCTAAGCACATATTTGTGACAAATTACATGTTTGTGACCTAAGCACATGTTTGTGACCAAAGCACATGTCTGTGACCAAAGCACATGTTTGTGACCAAAGCACATGTTTGTGACCAAAGCACATGTTTGTTCCCTAATCACATGTTTGTGACATAAGCACATGTCTGTAACCAAAACACAGTTCAGTGACCAAAGCACATGTTTGTGACCAAAGCACATGTTTGTGACCAAAGCACATGTTTGTGACCAAAACACATGTCTGTGACTCAAGTACATGTATGTGGGCAAAGTACATGTCAGTGATCAAAGCACAAGTCTGTGACCAAAGTACACGTTAGTGATCAAAGTTCATGTTTGTGACCAAAGTTCATGTTTGTGACCAAACCACAAGTTTGTGACGTAGGCACATGATTGTGACCTAAGCACATGTTCGTGACAAAAGCTGGGTAAATCACAAAATCCTTATGTCGACAGGCAAACACACTTATACCACTATGTTACCTCTTAATCTTAATTAACTAAAGGTAAATCTGGGATCTAAATAGCTAATTTTCATATCAATAAAACAGAGGGTACCATATATGGAGAGAGTCATAGACAATAAATAATTTACTTTTTTTCCCCCACTTTTTTGTACTTAAAATGGAAAGTGACTGTTTGGTCTTTTGTGTAATACCCTTACAATAAGTCTACATGTATTAGATTAATGAATAAAACTTTCAATATTTGTTTCACATTCAACAAATACTATTAGAAGGCTTAATTACAAATTTCCAATTAGTTACAAAAATAAGAAACTAATAAATTTGCTAACATTATTTAAAATTTTAAGTTAATTTTCTAAAAGTGATATGTTTATGTATGGCAACATTGACTCCCAAATAAATTAAAAAATAAAGTGCTTTGTGTCTGGTAAATAAAAAATTAATATTCTTTTTTGTCCATATTTGATAATAACAACTTCAAAACTTGATCTTTAGTAGACCTAATTTATCAAAGTTTGCAGGGTTTTTTGACAACATAAAAATGTTGAAAAAATCAAGTCATTTTATTGTTCCATTCTTTCATGGCTTAAAGAAAGATATGTACAGAGTGTGTTTTACACATATATTTCTGTATACATGTATATTGTAATCTTCAATATTGCATACAACCCTCAACTACTAAACTAAAGTACTAGGGATAAATAAAGTTGCCATACATGTACATACCCCTAAGATTATACAATTATTATAAGTGCATATCTAAAACCATCTATCATGTTTAATTGACATAAAAAATATTAATAATAAGTAATATATAAATCTAAAAAAAAATCTCTAATTCATTAAGATTAATCTGATGATTTATCTATCAATACCTGAGTTAATTTCTTTGCTGAGTTGTTTTTTGGCCCTAATTTCCCTCCATAGTTTACCATCTCCCTCATCTTGAGCTATCCAACCTCCATATGTGAAGTAAAATGTGTCTTTAGGACGTTCACTGTCTTTAATGATTATCTATAAAAAAAATATATGATATAGAAAAATGTCTAAATATGAATCGAAAATTGAAAACGCTTTTTGGTTTTGTTTACCACATTATAACATTTATTAACATGTGTAACTTGAACACTGCATTGATCTCAATAGGAATTGAAAGAAAAATGGAACTGAAATGTTCATGTTCACACTTAACCTAAACAATTGAACTTAATTTTCCCATAATCCTTTGAAAAAGTCTTTTTCCTTTGACATCAGTATAGAGCTAGGCAAGCTTGTGCCGCTTGACCGGACATTAGTGACTCAGCTGCTTAGTTTAAGCATTTTGGTTCTTAAGAAACACAGACTGTCTGATGACAGAAGTCCTTGACGGGATTCGAACCCATAGCAGGTAGGAGAAAAGTGATTCATTGTCAACAACATTTAGCCATGGTGCGTCTATATTACATCAACAGTGCTGGTGTGGTTTGAAACCATACAAAATTAATAGATTTTATCTCATTTACCTTTTCTAGAAACCATCCGGAAGCGAAACCTTTCCCGTCATGCTCTATTCTAACTCTCCTCAACTCCCCGACACCATGTATACGTATTCTAAATGTGTCGACACTATTTCTTTCAAACAGTTTTTTATCAGATGATGGGTCAACAAGATGTATTTTCTTGCTACTGCCGTGCTGACCCATCAATGTTAGAAAGATGTTTGAATCAGTGCCGGCCATTTTCTGCTTCCCAGTATGCACTTCTATTGTGTAGTCTGACAAATACATAGTACATTCAAATACACATATTGTAATCATTAATGTCTACAAAGCAAAATATTCAGATTATTCCAGTTTACTTTATGTTACATTTACAGTTGTTAAAAGGATAGTCCAAATGTGGAGCCCAATGAAAAGGCCTAAGAAGGGACTCAGAGAGGGCCCTAAAAAGAGCATAAATTGTTTAAATGCTTCTAAAAAAAATTTTTTTTTAAGAATTGGCATTATGCCACTTTTTGTAATCAATTACCATGTCAGAATGTCATAAAATATTAAAGGTGGTAACCTAAAACTATTAAAGGCACACTAGGTCTCAGAAACAAATACATTTTTCACTCTTTGGAAATGCACAAATGAGTGTAATTACATTTAAGTTATGGTTTTGGAGCATGTTAGAAGTGCTTATCACTTGGCGAAAGAAGCGCTGAATGTGACATTATTTGTCAAAAAAGTAGCAAATGTTAATAGTATTTTTACTTCCATACAAAATACTGATTCACTGCTTATTGCCCAAAAAGCAACAGATGAAAAATATGGTTGCAGTAAATGGCCAGTGAGTTACTTTTTGGATACTACAAAGTACACCAACACTAAAAAGCATTTCTGAAGCAAAATGGGCCTTTAAGGATTGAGTACTGGTAAGTGTCATTAATAAATCTTATTTTCCATCCCAATTTACTCATGCTGAGTAGAAGGTTTTTAAGATTTTTGAAATTTCTCACCTGTTAATGGGGTTTCTTTCTGTTGTGCTTGTAGGTCAAGTTTATTACTGTAGAATGGTTTCTCAAATATCGAGATCCATTCACCACAGTGAAATACCCACGTCATCATGACCTTCACGTCTGTCACCTCAATATGATCTAAATGCCAGGCTTGATTTTTCTTTACACCATCATGCTGTAATCAAATATTAATGTTTGATATGAGGTCATTGTTCTAAAAACATTTGCTGATTTTGTGGAAATAGGCAACATTATGTACAAATCAATATGCCAATTTGAAGCTCTGAAAGTGGCTTGTAAACGTGGGTTGTAAACGTGGGTTTTGAACATGGAATGTAATTCTGGGTGGTGATACTGAAATATAACAACACTAATTCACCATTCAATGGTTAACCTGGCCGTTAACTCAAGGGGAACAATGGGGACTTTTATTTTTAGATAATCATTACCCTGGTAAAGGCTTGAACTTGAAGTTACTATCACAATCCAATGTTAAAATCTCGCTTTTGCATTATTGTCTGCTATCTTATGGGACTGGGAGTTCTCAGTATTTGTTATTCATTTTATATTGATCAAAATTGATTTTGTGCCAAAATGACAGAAAACAAGCTAAAATAAAAATTATTAAAAAATTTACAATACTTTATCCAAAAGTCAGAAAATATTCTACATTTAATCATTTATGTTTCTACTTAACTTAAATTCCGCACAAAAAAGTGAAATGGTTAAACCTTAAAATTACATTATGTCACCTACATGTAAGTGTTGTAATGGAATAAGTCCTTCTAAATTTAATAGGAGTTAATCAGTTATTGCACTATTATTGTAATGTAGATATTAGAACCAACCTCTATTGTAAGAATTTCTAGATTTCCAAGAAATGGTCCTTTTACATGAAACACTTCTTTAGAAGCTCTCATAAAACAAAGCTGGGAACAGCCTCTATTCTTCTTAAGCTGTGTACGTGGCAACATCTCTTGGCTGCCTTTAATTGTTACAAATACCTGCAAATTCAAACATAAAAAGATACCCTTTGTAATAAATATAATTTAAGCTTCTTTATTTGGATTTTATCATAACATAACACATTTTTGTCTAATGGAATTCAATCCTGATTTAAGATGGCTTTACTTCTTAGCTCAAGAATTACTGAAAGAACTTTTGAGAAAACTCCTGCTGGAATTGAGCATGATTAGCCTTTACCAATAGTATAGAGCCAGGTCAGTTTACACATCCATGCATTCCTACCAGGCTCTATACTGCTGTTATTAACTCGATTTTTGTATTTTGATTATTGAAATCCCTTAAACTTTGAATGGACTGTTCCAAATTCAAAGCAGGGCAAATCCATTACACAAATTCAGCAGGTGAAGGGATAATGAGAACTGCAGAGCAATTTTTCTCCATCTTGTTGGGAAACAGGTCATGGTCCATGGAAAATGTTTGACACATAAAATTAGGCAAATTGGTGAAAATGTGAGATACAACAACAGTCAATTCATTATCTTAAACAGTCAATGGGTTTTTGTAGACATCATTTATGGCAATAGGAAACTGGTCCATTCATCTTCTTTGTCTACAGAAGGAAAAATGTATTAAATGTCATGTGTTCATTTTAGCTGAGATAGAAGAGTCTTAACACTCAACCAACTGAATTCATATAATGGATTTGCCCTCTTTTGAACTTGAAACAGTCCATTGACAGTTTCACAAATTACAATATAATAATATAATAAGCTACCACCAGTATACCCTGGTAGAGCCTGGAAAGACCTGACCTGGCACAATACTAATGGCAGAGGCTAATCAGTTCCAGTAGGTAAGGGTTAAATGTACAGCATGTGACCTACGTTTGCGTTGGTTCCTGCGTTCATTTTATCTGACGTGAACACCTCTACTTTATACAGTCTCTCTCTGACAACAATCTCTTCATCATCACTGTGTTTCACCTTTTGTCTTGGTATAGGGGCAATATATTCTATCCTAGGTTTGGCCGACTTTGGTCTTCTCTTTGGCTGCAATTAAATAAAACAAAAGTGAACAGTTATTAAACAGCTAATGGCATGTTCACAAATAATGGGTAAATCTTCAAAACAAAAGGCAACAAAAAGTATTTTTTCTCACACTTTATATATATAGTCATAAAAATGACAAAATAGAGAGCCCAAAGAAAAATCTCTTTAATCATCACACATAGTGTTAGTTAAATAAGCCTGAATTCAAAATAAAACAAACTGAAATTTATAATCTGCAAAAAAACAATAAAACTGTAATTTACATTCATATTAAACAGCATTCACCATCTTTTTTTTTTTATTTTTTTTGATAGTTTGATTTCTTCCGTTTACTTATCTAGAGCCTTGCAGAATTAATGCAACTTACATCTTATTTGCATCATATCTTTATAAAATCATTTACAAAAAGGCAGCAATGAATTTCTTTAAACCTAAGAAAATCTCACCCTATGTTGTAACATATGTCTCTCATGTTCTTCTAATGTTGTACACAGGTAGCAAAAACTTTTTTTGGCTGAAATGTTGTATAATATACTGTTACTAATTAATGTCATTTTTTTTCATACTAGTATATCTATTAATTAAATTTTTTTTATGTTATAGACAAAATAACTATTGAAGTCTTTTAAATACCGGTACAATACCTGTTTCACTGTTTCAGACTTGCAGGATAATAAAAGTCATTTTGCAATAAACCAAAGCAATCAGATAAAGAAAAAAACATTTTTTTGTGAAACTTTCAATGCTGGTTTATTCTAATACAAAAAAGATAATTAAACATTGTCAATGAAAAATATCTAGGTGAGTGCAGCAAAATATATTCAGTAAGACAATATGCAGGGTTGACAAATCTTAAAAAAATGGAAAAATTTGTAGAAAACCAATTTGTTTTATAACTTTTATATGAAACATTTTTACGCATCATATCTGAACATATTTACCAGGTGGATCCACATAAGTATCTCTGTCCACATTTACATGGGTTCCAAGAGAATCTAGTACTTTGTTATCTGTGAACATAACTTCTACACTTTTCCATCTACCTGGTGTCTTGGGTCTTTCAATTTGCTGTGGTTTTGCTGAAATATTAAATATTTCATAAGTAAATACAATATGTCTTGCAACGATGACCATGTTTTAAATCGTGAATTGACTGACAATAGTTTTTGGGACTAACTTGTAAGTTGTATGTATGATCCTTAATCATGGAATGAATACATAATCCAATATTTTAAATGGATATCGCAAGCTGTGTAGAAACTAGAAAAAAAACATCTACATATTATGTCAATGCACCAACAATTATCCTATGTTTATAAACACTTCTGTAATAGAATAGATAATAGCCCAAAGGTTAAGTTTGTCTGACATAATTAATGTGCTAAAGCTATATAGAATTCATGATCTATATTAAGACAGTAATTTTGCTCTGACAGTGAAATATGTTCATGCAAGAAGAATAAGATTAAAAAATAAAATCATTAATAGAAATAAATCAAATGCAAGAAATTTTCAGTAAATTTAATCCGCATTTTTGAAAAATAGATAATTCCTAGACGAATGTGTAATTCTAAAATGAAACAATATATCTACCAACTCGCTAAAAAGATGAATTAGACATGCTTATGTCGCACCTCAAAGGATTCGTCCGATCTTTAATCTTTATCAGTGTGGCACTTATCAAAGAAATATATCAAATTTGGCGCCAACTTTATAATATGCTCCAATTTATACATGTAAATTTACACGGTCTTTGTGACGTAGCGTGTACTAAAAGACTAATTCATAGCTTGCAAAACAAAAAGTGACAGACGATACGTGATTAGTCAAACATGCGAGAATAATTTTAGCTAACAACAAGGGGCGGGCAATATGCTTATCATGTCACATTGCTGTCAATTAGCAACATAATATTTAATATTTGGTTGGACTAGGGTTGAATCATGCTTGGATCTCGACCTTGTTTCAACATATCAATAGATACAATTTATTTCCAGTAAACAGACTTGAGAATGACTGATATATTAATTTGCAATTAAGTCTACATTAATTAAGTACCTGACACAGGTCTTGCGTTTGGATGCCAATGTTTTATGCCATAATCAATGCATGGATCCATTTTTTTCATTTGTTGAGAAAGCCTGGTGAGGTTTTCCTCTGTCTTGTTACACAGATCCTTCAACCCCTTTCCATACATCTCGCTGCTTATAGGCCCGGTCCATGTTTTCTTCAGATCGGGTCTCCCTTCAAACTCGGCAGGTGTAGGGCGAATGTGCCAGGTTCCAACACACCTTTGTGACATTGTATTCCGCTTCTAAAAGTGTTTTTTATTTAAGTACTCAGACCATAACGTGATAAAGATATTTAAATTTGTGCAAATCAATATGTGTGATGTTTACTTCCGTAACTATTGTAAACACGTTTTTTCTCACGAGTCGATTAAACTAATACAGCACCGGCTCCAATAATTCAAGCGCCTCGTGAACGCCTCATGAAATAGCGTGAAATATCGCAATTATTCATTTAAAGACGATTTGATAATCGTGGTTACAAATATGCTTGGGTGATTATTGTATTAGACCTTCTTTTTAAACATATTTATGTTATTTTATTGCTAAATTGTTCCGAAATTGATAAATTATTCCTCTACAAAATGCTCATAGTTACTAGACGCTTATTACTTCAATGTTATCTGACGGCTGAACACCACTATGTGCATTTGTCTTAATTTCTGTCTTGCTCAACTTACAATAATCAAAGCTGGCTAAGAGGTCGCATTTTTGTACATAGGTTATAGACAGCAATATTTCATTCTATTGGATAATTATGATTTCGAGGATGAATTTCAATGAAGCAATTTATTGAAATAAATATGTTTAAACTAATATAGCAGGGGAGTATGTTACAGTTTAGAACAGTTCAGGATAGTGCTAAGTGCACATTTATCTCCCTTATATATTAAACAGTTCTGGACAATGACGTGACACAAAAAAGAACTACCTACTTGATAAGCAGTCTTTTTTTATTGTAGCCACTCGATTGATATACATTCATTTTGTGTTGTTATTATGAAATTAGGTGCTACCTATGGCGCGGAAAGCTCTTATGAATTATGATTTTAGCCTAACATATTTAGTGCACATGTAAACCAGATCTTTCTTGAAGGTTTTTTGTACCATAAACAAAACAAATAAATTGGTAGTGTTCAACCTATCATCAGGATCGCTCGGAATATCCCGAAAATCTCCGAACGTAATGGGGGACCTCTTCGCATGTGTCGGCGTTTGGAAAATCCCGTCCGCCATTTTTGTGTCGCCTCTACGGAGTAGTGGCGACATATAGGGATCACTTCTCCGTCGTCTGTCTGTCCGTCTGTCCGTCTGTCTGTCTGTCTGTCCGTCTGTCCGTCCGTCCGTCACAAAACTTGTCCGGACTACTCCTCATAAACTACTGGTGCAATTTCATCCAAACTTTACAGGAATGATCAGTACCAAGTCTAGTTGTGCATATTGTCAGGATTTTCCGGTTCAATGATTTTTGTCAGAGTTATGACCCTTTAATAATTTTTAATTTTAAAGTTTGTCCGGACTACTTCTCTTATACCACTAATGCAATTTCAATGAAACTTTACAGGATTGATCTGTAGCTCAAGTCCTTGCGCATATTGCACGGGTTTTCCGGTTGAATGATTTTTGGCCGAGTTATGGCACTTTGATAAAAAGGTTTCTTTTTCTGTGTGTTGCCAGATACCCAAAAGCTTGTCCGGACTACTCCTCATAAACTACTGGTGCAATTTCATCCAAACTTTACAGGAATGATCAGTACCAAGTCTAGTTGTGCATGTTGTCAGCATTTTCCGGTTCAATGATTTTTGTTTGAGTTATGGCCCTTTAATAATTTTTATTTTTAAAGTTTGTCCAGACTACTTCTCTTATACCACTTATGCAATTTCAATGAAACTTTACAGGATTGATCTGTAGCTCAAGTCCTTGCGCATATTGCACGGGTTTTCCGGTTGAATGATTTTTGGCCGAGTTATGGCCCTTTGATAAAAAGGTGTTTTTTTCTGTGTGTTGCCAGATACGCAAAAGCTTGTCCGGACTACTCCTCATAAACTACTGGTGCAATTTTATCCAAACTTTACAGGAATGATCAGTACAAAGTGGTTAGTCTAGTTGTGCACTGTCCGTCTGTCTGTCCGTCTGTCACAAAATTTGTCCCAACATGAAATTGGCCATCATGAGGCGACACATGTGATTACTGATCGCTCTTGTTGTTAATCTCTAATCACAGTTGTTGTTTTAACGTTATTTTTAATGTGCTAATTTATCAAAAAGGATATCTTAAAGTAACTTTTTATATTTATAATCGTTACTTTAATTCTTATCAATGAAATGCAGGTTTATTTTCTGATTTTGTGCATCATTCTTTCACCGGAAGTGTTACTTAGCATGCGTCTGCTAGAAATAGTCTGAATTATGTAGACGCTCATTAAAAGCGTTCTGATATCTATATTTAGCTCAAAAGGATTTCAAAATGGTGGCGCCCAGTTAACACAGCTCATTAGGTATAGGATATATATTTTTTTGAAATTTTCATTTTGTTTGAATTTGATTTCATTTGAACTGATACGCGTCATACATGTTATCTAAGAGCGCTACAGCCCTCGCGGGGCCTTTGGCCCTGTTCGGACTTTCCGCGTATTATGAAAAATTACATCAATGAATTTCCATAATCATATAAAGATTTTAAAGGACTGTTTACATCATACAACAGTTGGTTTATATACTCAGCAAAAACAGAAACCTGACAGTGTATATTTTATTATTATTTTTCAGGAAATCAAGACGGAAATGTAAAAACGAATGTTGGGCATGAAAAAGAGATACATGCACAACATTGATATGCATTTTGTTGTTTATTTATTATGTTTTAATTTGTTAAATTACGCTAGTTCTAAGGAGATGGTCAAATTAAATTAATCTATTTTGTGGCTATAATGTTTTGACTATGTGTAGATAGGTTTTAATCATTTCATTAACAGTTTTATTACTTTTAAAATGCATGCGATTTTTTCATTTAATTCAGTATCGGTTGTGGCCACCTCTGGCTCTAAGTAGTGCATCAACGCGGAGTTACGTGAAAGCAAAAGTAGAAATAAATGATGTTCTACGGTGTCAGATTTCTCAATTTGTTCTGTCCCGGTTATAACGAGACCCGGTTATACCGAGGAATCTTGAGAAGTCCCGACGATCTCTTTATATCCGAAGTGCACTGTATATTGTAAAAATGTTTTGCTTAAATTTATTTACAGTGCTAAAGATCTATTCAAATATAAGAGTGGCCTAGAGAAGGCACTGCCTGGAAAAGGAGGTGAAAAGGCGTTCATGCCAGATGGGTCATGGTTAGAAGCAAAGTGCATTGAAAGTTTTAACAAAGAGAGGGAAAGGGTGCTTTCTGAACCCAGAATTGTGAGAAGGTATTAATTATATATATCATTACTTGAATATAATTTACAAGGATTTACAACAGTGCAACCTCTGTGAAGCAACATCCTTTGGAAAACAGAAATTTTGGTTGTTGCTAGCAGGTGCTGCTATACAGATGTTGGGTATATTGTGAAATCTTACTTTTTGGAAAAAAAGGTGATTGCTCTATAGTTGGTCACACTGTAGAGGTTGTACTGTATTTATAAAAGTACACATTTTTAATGCTTTCTCATTCTTTATTGTTGTACATACAATGTACCTGTAAGTTTTCTGATGAAGATAATTGTCATTTTCATAGGATGAAAAATGTGTGTACATATCATATCTTTTTCCATTCATTTTGCATATCTCATTAATCAAATGGACGGTTTATTTGCTCAGTTGGTAGTGCTTTAGGGTTATTTTTATAATGCAGCTTTCAGTATGTCTTTCTGTAACAATTAGAATTGTGATGATAATTTTATGTTTAGTTCCATTTACCTTTTACCAATGTTTTAAATTATTCATGTGAAAGAGCTGTCGTGGAGAAGTTGGTATTTACTTGCAGAGAATCTATAAAAATGCTTGTCAGTCCTTCTAAGGTTATGTCCATGTTACAATCAGATAAGGCTAATGTTGTTTCTATTTTTCAGTATGGACCTTGTTAGAGGGGAGTGGAAACCAGAGGTGGGACTTCTGGAACTGGGTCATGAAATGGTATGCTCAAACTCTAGTACTAGTAAAGTCAGTAATTACATGTGCCCCATAATTCTTTCACTTCCAGAGCTTTAGTTATATAACTGAAGAGTAATTGCTTTGGATATTTTTAAGAATTGCTGTAATCTTCTGTAGAAGATGGATGCTTATTGTTTACTTTTTATGCCCCCGCCATATAATGGCAAGGGCATATAGTGTTACCCTGTTCCGTCATTCCGTAATTCCGTCCTTCCGTCATCATCAGTTTCCGTTCATTATCTTAATAACCGTTGCACATATTGAACTCAAATTTGACATATAGATATGTCATGAGAAAATACAGGTCAAGTTCGAAATTGGTCATGGTTCGATGATTTTTGGCAGAGTTATGCCCCTTTTACTTTGAAAATAATATGAAATTTTCAGTTTCCGTTCATTATTAACCCAACAGTGTTACATATTCAACTCAAAATTGACATATGGATATGTCAAAGGGATGCGCAGGTCAAGTTGGAATTTGGTCATATTTCGATGATTTTTTGGCAGAGTTATGTCCCTTTCACTTTGAAAATAATATAGATACATCTTAGGAATAAGCAGTTTAAGTTGGAATTTGGTCGTTGTTCAATGATTTTGGACAAACTTATCTTTCCTGAATGTTGGAAAAATTTTGAACTTTCAGTTTCAGCACTCATACTTTTGTGGAAATGTATATAGCCATTATTTTGGCTACAAATATGCAATATGCTATTTTCAAAAGGTTAAGACTGAATAATTTCAGTGCCTTGAACATTGTATAAAAATGGTTTGTGTTAACATTGAAAAGTTTTAAGGGCTTTGAACATAGAATGAAAAAAATAATTTGTGCAAACAAATTTGGAACCAAATATTATAACATTTGAAATTTTGGCTGCATGCGGGGGCATCCGTGGCATGATGACACATTTCGAGTTGTGTATAAAAATACATATAAAACCTACACTTTAATGGAAAAAAATAAGGTAAAAATAATTTTTGTCTAGTCTAAAACCAATATTATGATAAAAATACAATTAAAAAAAATCAAATATATGACAAAGATATGTGTATGATACTATGACCAAGATAAGTATGTGTCCATCTTGTTAATAGTCCATGTTTTATTATCAAATACAGAGAAAAATTGAGCATGTTGTCCTTGTGACAGCTCTTGTTCTTAAAGAAATGATATTTTAAGGATGACCTTTTTGTAGTATTAGCAATTTAGTAAATTCTCCTGACAAAATATGAACTACATGTATCATGTTCTATTTTGATTATAGAAAAACTTCTTTGAGCACATGGGCTTTGATGAAAAGAAAAGAAAATGGCTGTACCCAGAAGAGGCCCTCTTTTTGTTAGAGATTGTAAGTATTAAGGTGTAAGGCATTATTGAACAGGTATAATGATTATGAGGATAAAAGCAACAGGCAAGTCAACATTCTTATACATGTATATTTCGCAAAAAAGATGGTACAGTAGAATATAAAAGCTGTAAATATACAAGTACAAATCTTGTTAAAATGTATCATGAACCAAGAACTGTTTTAATTTCTCTTAAAAATAGTCTTATTAACTTTGATTGACTTTTTCCTATTCAAAAATGGTACAAATCCATTACAAAATCACAGGTTATGGATTTAATTTCATACAAATTTGCTATTTCAATTACATTTATATTACAGGGTGTATTAGAGATATGGTATCTAGGTTTACCATTAAGTATACAGGAGGCCTACTCTACACTGATTGGTGACAAAATACAGCTAGAGTACTATCAGGTCTATTCTCATCTTCGTAGAATTGGTTATGTTGTGCTGAGACATCAAGGGAGGTAATACTTTGTTTTTGCAAGATATTTGTCAGAAATCATTACATATATGTAGTTATCTTTCTTCTGCCAAATTTAATCTTGGGATAGTACATGTAGAATGTGAAAGTTACGATTTTTTTTACAGTAGTTTGTAGTAAAAATTAGGCATATGGCTAAAATATGTCTTGTTGATTACAATTGCATTTCTCAGAAAATGACTTCAAAACTGACATGTGAGAAAACTGTACCAAATATGGGTGTTTATTAAACTTTCAAAAAGCACATTCACTTTGAGAAATATATAGGTACATTTCCTGATTGTCAAGGTTCACATGATATTGTTGAATAGTGCATTTGAATGATATTTTGGCGTCATAAAAGGCATCAAAACTTCTTTGCTTGCTGCTTACATCTATATTTTAATGACTTAACAGCTTCATGATAAAACTACAATGTTTAAAATACATGTATAGTGGTATTGCATGGAAGCAATAGCATGTTTGTATTGATGAAAGTTTAGAGTCAAAATTCCATCGTCTCGGTAAAGGTTTATAACAATGTCATTAAGGACGGCTATCACTTTAATCATTTATGTCTGAATTACACCTGAGGTCTTCCTGCAACAGTAAAAGCTGGAAAGTCGTCATATGTTCTAAAGCTACTGTGTTGGTGCAATGTTAAACCCAACCAAGAAAAAAAAATTACAATAAAGAGAGACATAAGTTTAGAGCACTATTTTATTTCAGGTATGATTTTACTAAATATGAGAGGAAGATTGGTTTAGATAAACATGTCTCTCGCAAGAAGAAAAAGAACAGAGAAAAACAAAATGAAAATAAAAACAACAACAACCAGTCTATGGATGTCGATGGGGCAGGAGATGTTACTAAAAATACAGATTGTAGACAGACTGTGTCAAGCAGTATACAAGGAAAGTCATCTGCTATTTCAGGGAATGAATTTGGCAGCCAGTCAAAGAGACAAATAACCAAAGACCAGTCTGATTGTAGAACAAACAACAAAGATGAGCAAATTGGTGGAAACTGTAAAAATAAAGATGAAAGTGTATGGTTTGAGAGGGATGTATCTTGTTTGAAGCATTTAAGTGAAAATATAAAAACTCCCAAATCTTCCAATTTAGGAATCAATGACGTAAATCAGGAAGGACTATGTAATGAAATGCCAGGGAATAAAGATAATGAAGTTGAAGAGACAAAGCAATCAAGGTCAAATTTTGACGACATTGAATTCCCCAACTTTAAGAGTTCGAGTGAAAGAGTGTTAGTTCATAGTCCAAATGTTAAATATATACCACAAGGACCTGATGTCAGCTTTAGTGAAACTCAGTATAGTTTTGATAAGAAACTGTACATTAATACAAAGAAGATAAAAAGAAAACAGCAGATTTTAGATGAAGCTCTCGTACAAGAGCTAGATTTCTCGTATCCGGAAATAATGACCAGTTGGTACAAAGTCAAGAAGTCATGTACAAACTGGCAACAGTACAAGATGGCCGTACAAAAGGAGAAATCATCATGGGATAGGAAATCAGTATTTCCTCATCTGTATGGAGACAAAGTGAAACCACTTGTAAAACCTGAAAACTCAAGATCAACTTGTAAGTTTCTTATGTATTAGGTATAAGTATTCACCGTAATTTTCATAAATGCTGATTAATAATAATACCATAAAGCATTAAAATCAATTTGTTGTGACTAGCTTTTAATGCATGAAACAGTGTACAATTTTATTTGTACACCTGTTTATTTGTTTTTTTTTCAACTGTTCAACAAAAGTAAATAAAATACAGTAATGTGATTTTTATATCCCAATACTTTAATGTGTTTTGTGACATAAACTTTAACTGTTACATCTAAATGTTTTGTCTGAAATAGTGTAAATTTGCAATAACTTTTTGGAGGGTTTTAAATTGATTAATGCACACTTTCAAGTTCTTATGGCGATTTTAAAGCTTTTGTTGGTGAAGACAAACTCCAGGTGACCAATATGTGAATCTTAGACCTTTCTAGCTGGATAGCTTCCTCACATGAAAGATATCCATGGCCCTAGCGGGATTCAAACCCAAAGCAATGAGTGGCAAGTGAAACAAAGTAATTGACCATTACCATTTGGCCAGTTATGTGAACTGATGATACAAAATGTGAATAATGTTCTATTTTGCAGGGATCATATTAGATTATCATTCAACTTCAAGCGTGTGAATATGTGTGAATTTTATTTTTAGAAATGTTACGTGTAATGTTATTTCCACAATGCAGTTTGTTTCTTCATTATTTTTTTCAGACGCTGTATTAGAACAGTTGAGTGTAATTAAAGATGATGGGCTTAAGAAGTAAGTTTTAAATTCTTAAGTTTTATCCTTCTGATTTAATCTGAGTTAAACACAGAATTTGGTTCACATTCTAGTATACATTGAAAGATACAGAAAAGTAGAACGGACAACAAATGTAGACACTTATGATATCTCAATAAAGTCAAGTAGATTAGTGTCACATGACAACATTTTTAGATAATGTCTGGTTAATTTTAAGGGTATTAAGCTATATCTTATGAAATTGTTTTTTATGAAATTTATTAACAGTAAAATTATATTGTTTTCATAGTCTTAAAGTCAATTATCAAAAGTGATGTAAGATAAAAATGTTTCTGTTACTCAACACACATGAATATTGTTCATAAACAGAATAAAATATTCCGGAATAAAATATTATGTTGCTATTTTAAGTAGGGTTTTAACCATTTAGCAATGATTTATTACATGCACCATTCATCTTTAAGACAATAAACTACCATATTTGAGCCGCATCACGACAAAACCAACATAATGGGTTTGTGACCAGCATGGATCCAGACCAGCCTGCGCATCCGCGCAGTTTGATCAGGATCCATGCTGTTTGCTTACAAACCCTATAGCAAGTAGAGAAACTGATAGCGAACAGCATTGATCCTGATCAGAGACTGTGCGGATGCGCAGGCTGGTCTGGATCCATGCTGGTTGCAAAGGCACTATGTTGGTTTTGTCATGACGCAGCTCATTTATTGTATACAAGCATTCTGGAAGCACAGTCTGTATTCTTCTTCAAAATCAGAATACTTTTTGTAGCTGATATATTACTATATACACTTTAATTAGAAAATATATAAAACAACATAAGATAAAAATGCAAATCTGATTGTTTTAAGGCAATATTGAATATTTTTACATGGAAGTGAAGTTTTCTCTCAAATCTTCACTCTCACTTCTTGCTCACACTTTTCTTGTTAGTGTGATATATTCGATATTCTATAAAAGCAAACAAATATCTACTATTATATTTACAGATGTGATACTGTACCAGACAATCTACCTCAGTTTGATGTATATGCTCCTAATTCTAGTTTTAAGAAAACTAGACCAGGTATTCCGGACTTTAGAGTTAAAGTTGTGAGGTAGGTACATGTTTATCTTGTATTGTCAGCTTCTTTTTTTCTTGTGAACTCTCTTGTAGGCTATTCAAACCTTTAACCTGCTGAATTTATGTAATGGACTTTCCCTGCTTTGAATTTGGAAGAGTCCATTCAATATTTAGGGAATTCCAGTAACAAAATATCAAAATTTAAGCTACAATGTACCAACAGTACAGACTGCATGGATGTGTAGGCTGATCTGGCTCTATACTTGTGGCAAAGGCTTATCACTTTCAGCAGGTTAAGCAAGCAGGCTTTCAGATCTTTGTTGATTTTTAGGAAAATTTAAAAAGAGTTCAATATTTTAAAAAATGTTATTAAGTATACTTGTATATGTAAAGTGATTTTACCTAGCCTATGACACTTTCTATCGAAAAAATCCATTACAGCCTGTCCAAATAGTGTAGAAAAATCCCTTACTCTGTTAGAAACGGGATGGAAATATGAAGATAGAAGTAGAAAATACTGGCACATTTTGAATGAAACAAGCAGTGTCACTTACATGTACATTGTGAATTTTGGTACAATTCTGTAATACTGTTAATAACTATTCTTATGTTTGAATGTTTAAAAATCTGTTCTCTTGCCCGGAGGTATGGTAAATGTTGTTATCATGAAAAAATACATGTATTTATTGCTGATAAGTCTGTTAAAGGCACATTATGCCTCAAAAAAGATTTTTTTTTTCATTCTTTAGAACCGGCAAACATGAGTTTTGTAATGTTTAAGTTATGGTTTTAGAGCATTTTAGATACTTATCACATGGAGAAACTTACTGTGAATGTGAAATTATATGTCATTAAAGTAGCAAAATGTAAAAAAAGTAGTATTTTGACTTCCATGCAAAATACTATGTCACTATATTTTTACTAATGGCTAAAAAGTGACAAGCAAAAGATGGAGCATAGAAACATTTCGGAAACTTTTAACAGGGCATCAATATTAGAAAGATTTTGCAAAATGAAAATAAAATCATTCCAGGGGCATAATGTGCCTTTAAGAAGTAAGATTTCTGATTATAGTGTCACTTCTTAATTTACTGCTGTACAGCTCTACATGGTAATGCTTATTTGACTTGTGACACTTTGTTAGGAATATTTACCCACAGTGTATTTGAATTTTGTCTGGTGGCCTTAGCTAGCATTACACCTAATATTTATAATATTATTTTTAAGTGTATACTATAAGAAACTAAATATTTAAGAGCATACATTGACGAAATTTTTTCAGTTGTATTTTATTAAGTTACCTCCCTTTAGTTGTTAGGGAAGACATAGAAAGCTGTAGTCATGATTGTTTTATGATTGTTTTGTTTCCAGACCAAGTGATCCAGTACCAGGCCTTAAAGATGTCAACTCTATCATGAGTTATTTAAATGATGACTCATTGCTACATTGGGCAATAGTTGATTGTGGCAATATAATTTTCTACAACATGGCCGACATGCCACTTCCTCGAGACATCTCTCTGGGCTGATGTACTGTTGGGCTTAAATATGGCCGACCTATCAGTTCCTTGGGATATCTTTCTGGGCTCATGCATTGTCAGAGATAAAAATGGCCAACCAGCTACTTACTCCGGACATCTCTCTGGGCTGATGAACTGTTAGAGATAAAAATGGCCTACCTACCACTTTCTCAAGATATGTATCTGGGCTGATGAAATGTTGGAGATAAAATTGGCCAACCTACCAGTTTCTCTGGGCAGATGAACTGTTGGAGATAAAAAAAAAGGCCAACCTACCACTTCTTCGGGATATGTATCTGGGCTGATGAACTGTTAGAGACTTGCCAGTTCCTTCAGACATCTCTCTTTGCTGATGAACTGTTAGAGATAAAAATGGCTGAGACTGTTGGAGATGAAACTGAAGTGAGTCTAAAAAAATGTCTTGGAGCACCACACTAAATACCATAGTCTGGTATATACTGGACAAGCTGCTTGCATGATCTAAAAATGCACTTCTGATTCATCTCTTCACACTGATTTATATACAATCATGAATGAAAAATGTAACAGTTTGCGATATAAATGATATCTTTCTACATGGTGATCATGATTTCTGCAAGCGTCTTAAGGAATGCTCCAACACTGTAGTGATTTAAATCCATAAAAATGGCTGACCCATCACTTCCTCAGGACATTTCTCTGGGATGATAAATGCATATCTGCTGAAAATGTGTTAGTGATTTAGATTTTCCCAACATTTTGGACAGAAACCTTCTATATATTACACATACTTTGAAACATAGATTAGTTTTTTTAACCTACATACCTAATTCTAAATTTGAGAGTACATAACCCAGCCTGAAGTATGATATGTTTGTGCATTATTTTTTGATAATCAAGTTTTCAAAGACCTGTTGTTATTCTGCTTTCAGATGCTAAATGCTAAAAATAGTCAAGCTTGCTGTCTTAAAGGAAACTGCTACAAAAATATGAAAAGATTAAAATCAAGTTTAAGGTTAATTATTATTATATCATAAAAAAAATTAGCGTATTATCTAGATGACATTTCGTCACCTTAGTGCAATAACTGATTAACTCCTATTAAGTTTAGAAGGACTTATTCTGTTACAGTAACTGCACTACTACTTTTCAAAAATGTATGAGACGATAGTTATGCACATCTTACAGTTTTCTGTGTGTTTTTTTCATGAAATTGAACATTTTTGACATTTGACGACACTGCTTTTGCAAGTCTTGACTGTTAAACAAAAGGCATTGAAAACCATTTGTAATAAGTTCTATGTTTGTAATCTATTATTGATTTGATAAATTTTCATTTCAGAGTTTTTAAGTTTTTTTATGCTTTTCATTTTGATTTAGGAGTCTAGAAGTTTATAAAGCAAGCTTGTGGAAGCAAGGTTTTTATGGATGTATTTGAAAAGACATGGAATCTTTCCAAGAAAATGAAAACAAAAAAACAAGAACAGCTAAATCTGCACTGTATTGACTGTTTTTATATTAAGAAATATTAAGAAATAAGTATTTGCTGTAAAATTTATATTACACTGACAATAAGCAAGGTTATGTGATAAAGATGTGACATGTATATTATTTGCCATGTTGTAGTGTTGCCATCCAAACATATGTTACTTTATATGTTTTGTTTAATTTATTATGTAATTTTTGATGAGGACATTAAAGTCAAAACTAGTTAATCATGTGTTGTCCATATATTAGAACTACACTTAAGTATAAAGGTTCATAGAACAAAAAAGCTTTAAAATGCATGTAACAATATTTTGTGCAAGGCGAGACATAGGAGATTCTCTATATATATATATTTTTTTTTTTATCATTTCCACTCTTAAAGGATTACTAAAAATAACAGTAAAATCCTCTTTTGGTCATGGGTGATGGCTGAAGTAAGAAATGGAGGTTTGGTTTATACCTATTTTTAACCAGGTTTTCAATTTTGAAAATCCTGGTTATTAGATTGGGGTATGGCGGGCGGATGGGCGGATGGGCAGATGGGCGGATGGGCGTCAAACGAAATTGTGTCCGCTCTGTAACTCTTCAACCCTTTGAAGAATTTTGATGAAACTTCAGACAAATGTTTACCACATCAAGATGACGTGCAGAACGCATGTTCCGCATGGCTGGCTCCAAGGTCAAGGTCACAGTGACATTAACATTGAAAATCCTGTCCGCTCTGTAACTCTTCAACCCTTTGAAGAATTTTGATGAAACTTCAGACAAATGTTTACCACATCAAGATGACGTGCAGAACGCATGTTCCGCATGGCTGGCTCCAAGGTCAAGGTCACAGTGACATTAACATTGAAAATCCTGTCCGCTCTGTAACTCTTCAACCCTTTGAAGAATTTTGATGAAAACTTCAGACAAATGTTTACCACATCAAGATGACGTGCAGAACGCATGTTCCGCATGGCTGGCTCCAAGGTCAAGGTCACAGTGACATTAACATTGAAAATCCTGTCCGCTCTGTAACTCTTCAACCCTTTGAAGAATTTTGATGAAACTTCAGACAAATGTTTACCACATCAAGATGACGTGCAGAACGCATGTTCCGCATGGCTGGCTCCAAGGTCAAGGTCACAGTGACATTAACATTGAAAATCCTGTCGCTCTGTAACTCTTCAACCCTTTGAAGAATTTTGATGAAACTTCAGACAAATGTTTACCACATCAAGATGACGTGCAGAACGCATGTTCCGCATGGCTGGCTCCAAGGTCAAGGTCACAGTGACATTAACATTGAAAATCCTGTCCGCTCTGTAACTCTTCAACCCTTTGAAGAATTTTGATGAAACTTCAGACAAATGTTTACCACATCAAGATGACGTGCAGAACGCATGTTCCGCATGGCTGGCTCCAAGGTCAAGGTCACAGTGACATTAACATTGAAAATCCTGTTTACATGATTTTAACTTGATTTGGCAGTCAAAGGTCATATCATCTTTGGAGGTAATTTAAAAAAGATATGATATATAATTTCATGTCTTCTTTGTAACTTGTTTTTCATTATACAGAATTATCAATATAATTATAGTGAACAAATTCTTCTGTGCTGAACTCGTCCTACATTTCTCAACGGATTTTGTTCAAACTTTCACAGAAGCTTTGTCATCAAGCACCCTGGCACATATTGTCGGGGTTTTGTGATTGGATAGTTTTTGACCTAATTATGGCCCTTTGTTTTTTTCCTTATACATAATATTATAGTGAACACTTCTTCAGTGGCAATTCCTCCTACATTATTCATGTTTTACATTGCACATAGTTACATTGTTTGTTGCTTGTATTTGTATTTCAAATACAACATATTTATCTACAATGGTGATAATTGAAAACCTGGTTTCATGGCATTGCCATGTTTCTTGTTTTAGTTTGATTGTGTAGGAAGCTATAAGCTTATAGACACAATTTAGAAATGGAGGTTAATCCATTGTCCCTTTTTCTTTGGTCAAAATCTCCACCCAAAAGTAATGACAACTTTGTCCAAATTCCCAAATTTGGTAAATTCTTTTACCATCAGGGATTTAGGTTTGATATCTATTTCTTAGGGACAAGGGAGCATTTTCTGTCAGTGACACACTCCTGCCTGTTTGGGATGTTTTCTGAACACTGACTGCACTCTAATGTTTTTCTCTTTACCTGTAACCTGCTGACTTTGTGAAATCGAGTTGTTCAAGTTTGGAACAGTGCATTCAAAGTCAAGGGGATTTCAGTATCAAATTTACCAACAGTAGGGCATTGTCTATGCACTAAAATTCATGATGGCCTGGCTTTATATATGCAATAAAATTCAGGCTGGCCTGGCTCTATATATGCACTAAAATTCAAACTGGCCTTGCTCTATATATGCACTAAAATTCACACTGGCCTGGCTCTATTGGTTCTAAAATTCAGGCTGGCCTGGCTCTATATTGTCACTAAGATTCAGGCTGACCTGGCTCTATATAGGCACTAAAATTCAGGCTGTCCTGGCTCTATATTTGCACTAAGATTCAGGCTGTCCTGGCTCTATATTTGCACTAAGATTCAGGCCGACCTGGCTCTATATTTGCACTAAAATTCAGGCTGGCTTGGTTCTATATAGGCACTAAAATTCAGGCTGACCAGGATCTGTATAGGCACTAAATTTCAGGCTGGCCTGGCTCTATACTGGTGGCAGCAGCTTATATATTTCAGTTCCAGTGAGAAACGGGTTAAATTTGCATGATGATATCATATATGACAAGACTTGTTGCTGCCTTAGGCACTGAGAATAGTTGAGCAGACTGGTCTTGGGACAGAACTTGTGTTACTTTAACTGCAGACTCAATTTAAGTGTTGTCTGCTTTTTTTGTATGATATCAGCTGCTGCACAAACAAACATATAGAATATTTCTAATTTCCAAGAATTTGTTTCATTTTATCTGCCTGTAAAACAGCTGTTGGTGCAGACATAATGTATTATGGAAAATCTTGTTCTTTGAATTATGGTAATATGAACAAAAATAGTTACCAATTAACATTTTTTATCATAATTTATGTGACGGTTTAGAATAAATAGGAAATTTACTTGCAATGGTCTTAAAACTACACCATAGAAATTTTCTTTTACTCAATGTACATGTTTATAATGCAATAATACTATAAAATAATTACAAATTTATTTTGATATGCACTGCCAGTATATTATCATTTATTGTTATATGTGTAGTATTTAAATTTTATGTAAAGTTTAAACAGTAAACATTCTTCAGTTTGATTATCAAATCTTTAGTTTTAAACAAAAGGAACAAGTGTTGCCATATTTGTAGAAAACTTTCCTTTTTGATTTATTTTAGCTTGACTGTACCAAGTATATGAAGCCTGTGCTTAACCCTTAACATCCTAAATATCTTAAATGGACTTGTCAATCTTTGAATCTGGACAAAACCATTCTTCACTTTTAGAGAAATTTTCAAAATATATACTCACTAAAAAGCCAACAGTGCAGACCATGATCACATGGCACAGATGTGTCAACAGTGCAGACCATGATCTTATGGCACAGATGTGTCTTCAGTGCAGACCATGATCTTATGGCACAGATGTGTCTACAGTGCAGATCATGATCTTATGGCACAGATGTGTCAACAGTGCAGACCATGATCTTATGGCACAGATGTGTCTTCAGTGCAGACCATGATCTTATGGCACAGATGTGTCTACAGTGCAGATCATGATCTTATGGCAACAGATGTGTCTACAGTGCAGACCATGATCTTATGACACAGATGTGTCAACAGTGCAGACCATGCTCCGATGGCACAGATGTGTCAACAGTGCAGACCATGATCACACAGCACAGATGTGTCAACAGTGCAGACCATGATCCGATGGCACAGATATGTCAACAGTGCAGACCATGTTCCGATGACACAGATATGTCAACAGTGCAGACCATGATCTTATGGCACATATGTGTCTACAGTGCAGACCATGATCTTATGGCACATATGTGTCAACAGTGCAGACCATGATCTTATGACACAGATGTGTCTACAGTGCAGACCATGATCTTATGGCACATATGTGTCAACAGTGCAGACCATGATCTTATGACACAGATATGTCAACAGTGCAGACCATGATCTTATGGCACAGATGTGTCTACAGTGCAGACCATGATCTTATGACACAGATGTGTCAACAGTGCAGACCATGATCACATGGCACAGATATGTCTACAGTGCAGACCATGATCTTATGACACAGATGTGTCAACAGTGCAGACCATGATCTTATGGCACATATGTGTCAACAGTGCAGACCATGTTCCGATGACACAGATATGTCAACAGTGCAGACCATGATCTTATGGCACATATGTGTCAACAGTGCAGACCATGTTCTGATGGCACAGATGTGACAACAGTGCAGACCATAATCTGATGGCACAGATGTGTCAAAAGTACAGACCATTATTTATGGCACAGATGGGTCAGCAGTGCAGACCATGTTTTGATGGGCACAGATGTGTTAACAGTGCAGACCATGTTCCCATGGCACAGATGTGTCAACAGTGAAGACCATGATCAGATGGCATAGATGTGTTAAGGCTTTACAGATGTGTCAAAAGTACAGACCATTATTTATGGCACAGATGTGTCATCAGTGAAGACCATTATCAGATGACACAGATGTGTCAACAGTGCAGACCATGATCAGACAGCACAGATGTATCAACAGTGCAGACCATTATCAGATGACACAGATGTGTCAACAGTGCAGACCAGGATCAGACAGCACAGATGTGTCAGCAGTGCAGGTCATGATTAGATGGCACAGATGTTTCAACAGTGCAGACCATGATCAGATGGCAAAGATGTCAGCTGATCTTGGGTCTGTACTGGTTGAATGGGTAGATTTAGTTGCAAACAGCTGTAGTAAAATATTTTTTGTTATATTTTCTTCATGTGCTCTTCAATAAGTAATTGCTTACATTAGTCACCATGCAATTCTTTTTTATATTTGTATATTGGCTTAAAACCAGAAAAAAAATATAACTGTATACTGAGACATAAAAAGAAACAAGGTGTGCAATAATTTTTGATCTTTATACAAATGCACCTTTGGCTAATAAGTAAGTCTTTGATCCTGTTGCTAGCGGCAACACATTCTACCCATGTGACCTGCACAGACCAAGAGCAGACGACACATCCTAGCTGTCTGATCATCAGGTTTGCAATGTTTGCTATTCAATAAGTACATATTTTGAATTATTTTCCCTAAAATGAAGAATGGTTTTGTCAAGATTGAAAGATGAACA